GTACATTCTATGATACGCAGGTGGAAGTATTCTTTTCAAGAGGGCAAACAAAAGGTATTCATGAAGCACATCTAGGACTTTGGCAGTTATTATTCTAATATGCTCAAAGTGGAACTTCTCCATGTGTAAAAGATCTGTGGATATTTGGGGTCATTTGTACCATGTGCTATCTGTAAACTCCCTTATTGTTACATATATCATGTATATATACATTGTGTTTCATATTGTACTGTTGAGAAGGAAATAAATGTTAATAAATACAATACAATACAATGTAGGGGTCATCATTAAAATAACTGGCAAAATTATACAAGCATCGCATGATGAATTGGGGGGGGGGGTATTACAATGGTGTCCATAAAAAAACATTATTATATAATCAATTACATTCTTTAAATGTTGACTTACATGTTTACATAGGATTTATGATAAATTTCATAAAAACCTACGCCCAGTATTACTATAATCATAAAATTCGGCATGGCATTGCTCCTCGTAAATCCTGTCATCTACTCTAATTTAGGGTTATTTTGGTGATGTAGTTTTGATGACACTGACGTCCCAACGAGATAATAATTAACTTTCATCACTCACTCATCAACCAGCGGACCCTCTAGGGAGGAAGTCTTTTTATTTATTTATGTTCAAGGCAGTGTAACAAAATTCATCTTCATAACGATGAGTAATGTCGAACACGTTGTGACCTGAAACCCTCTAATATTCATAAGGTCAGGTCGAGGGTTCAAGATGGGGTGGTTTAGAATAATTTGTGTATTTAGCGGTTAGTCTTACAAGACTATCCCTAAATTTACTTTTAATTGATGAAGTAGTGGAGCATGTCTAGATGTATTATATTTATCTACACATTTAACCGTGATGATTTTATTTCAAAATGTAAAGATTTGATCTTGCAACGATTTGCACGATGTGAAATATGTGTGCGTCTGTATGTATACATGCATAATAAGGTTTCTGCTTTTAATACGATGAAACAAACAATCGATATGTTTAAGCTTTAAAATACCTCTCTGCCAAAAGTGGAAGAATTGAAGCGATTGCAAAAAGAGGAACCATTCTCACTAACATTTTATAAGCAGCAGATGTTCACAATTTTTCTTTAATATTTTCAAAAATTTATTTTTAACCTTTTCAAATGCATGCATATTACAACCGTAGAAGAAAACGTTCTAACCAGAATATCACTGTTCAGGAGGGGAATATTTTTCACTTTTTCGAAATAGCCTGAAGGATCCTCAATTATAAAAATGTCGGGTACACGATCAATTAGTACATTACATCAAGTTTACATTTGAAATACAAACATCATTTTGAACAATATTGACATATCCCTTGCGCTCCTCATAATTATTATCAAAAAGACCAATTCCATGGGGAGGAGTTTGTCTATTACTTATGCATAAATTCTGTCGCTCTGGCTGCCCACAAATCAGTAGGGAGGAATTTGATATATGAACGATGAAATTTCGTGTGGTCATTTGTATCAGTCACCGACCTGCACTTTTTGAGCGTTAATTAGAAACTGTATGAAGACGGCTCACTTAAACCTCATTTCACTAAACTTACAGAAAGCCTTTAAATATTTATAGTAGATCTTCTCATGCTCAAACCTAAGCCATGGTGGAAGAATTCATTTGTTACCAAGCTATTTCAAGCACGAGATGTGTGCTATTTCTCACTTTTATCCTTCACTATTTTCATTGAAAAAAGTATGCCTGAGCCCTTCATTTTCTAAAATCATTGACGGTCACAGGATTTGATGTTCTGTTTCAAAGGAAACTATTAAAATCGTACCCCTTATGTAATGTAAAAAGTTTTATCCAGTGGCTGGAATCCCCTGTTGTAATCGCTTACTAAAGAGTACATGATTTTTCACCCCGAGCTTTACAAAGGCAATTGTCATTAGCTCCACCCCAAATTTAAACATAAATTATCTTGGTGCCGTCGATGCTTTTAGGCATACAATCAGGTGATTAAAAGTGCATCTGACTCTCAAAGCGTTCTGGGTTTTTTTAAGAATATTGTTTTTATGCCATACATGAAACGTAATCTGTTAAAAATACATTGTCAACGAGGGTTTTGCCATGCAAGCTTCATGGTTTAGGCAATAGCCTATGACAGTGAACTTGTTTGGTAAACAAGCACCGTACATGTTAAGTAACGCAGCGTGCAATTTTACACTCCGATGAGAATTAAGCTATGGTCTATGAGAACAGATCATTTGCTAATTCAGCAATTTACTATCATCAGAGTAGCCTGCATCTATACAACATAATGAATTGAACTTTGCCGTCTAGGTGAAAGTCCAGTATTTAAGTTAGTTTAATGGGTAAAGAGAAGTCAGGGGAGAGAGAATGCTGTTCACCCTTCTTCGTTGTGTCTCAATCACTTATGTTAAGATTCAAGTATAATTTGGTGATGGGGGGGGGGGGGGACTTACGACATACTCTCATTTGAAAAAATAGAAAATAATGTCGGTTAAATCAATATCAATCTTTATTCAATGATTGTGTATAGTTTTGATTGATCGAATTTGATGTGCAAGGAATGAGGATTCCAACTTTTAATTATTGTTTTCCTCCGGGGCAGACGGATAAGTATGCACTCAAATAGAACCTCAATCAGTCAAAAGGATACTGCCATTTTTATCACCCTTTCAGTTTAAAAAGTTCACAATTTCCCTAATACACAAGCCGCATGATTAAACATAGGCCTACTCAATATTCGTTAACCACTTGAAGTACCTTTCATGAGACTAATAAACGCAAGCTGTAGATTGAAGTAACTAGATAACTATGGTTGGCTTTTCCCTTTTTCTCATCCACCTGTATCACTTTCAAAATCGATTGACGCAAAGATTCGATGTCATTTATCTAGGCTTCCCGCTCTCTGAATATGGTTGGATGTCGTCGTTATACACCTTCAGCTTATGCCTTTAACCCTCTGTCTTTCCATCTCTAAATTTGTCCATGTATGTATCTGTCTGTCTGTCTTCCCTTCCCTCCTCTCGTTCTCTTTCTGCTTCCCCATCCATCTTTATACACAGTTCAATCTTATCCCTCGATTATGCTCTCCGCCATTCTCTATCTCTTTCTCATACACGCAAACCTCCATTTCTCCCTGAATGTTTCTCGTTATCATACATTAACGTATTCCTTTCGCATAGTTTTTTTTTACATATCCTATGTCTTTCTTTTCTTTCTTTGTTCTTTGTTTCTTTTCCCGTATGACCGTACTAGAGCCTTTATTATTTATTTATCTAACTACACTATCTTTTAATCAGTCAATCAATCAATCAATCAATCAATCAATTCATACACCAAACTGTCTATATCGTTCAAGCCTTCAACCTGTGAAAGCAGGCATTTCTAATTTTAGGATTTTAGAGGTACAGGCCAAGTATGCAGAAATTGGAAACTTGTGTCGAGAAAGAAAATTGGAATTGCTGATGGCTAGAGCTTAAGGGACAGACGTGTACTGCATACCAATTTCCCGGGGAGAGATGTATTCATCTTCATTCACGTCTGAGCCAAATTATTGTCGTATATCCTTTTCGTACTCAGGCTTTGCCCGTCTTACTTACTATCAGTTTTTAAAATGAAAGAATTTGACTATGATTTGTTATAATCATGTTAGTATTATTCACATGCTAAAAACCCAACAACTTCACCTTTTTGGCGATCGTCTTTGTCCGACATCGAAAATTTCTTTACAGAATTAACCATTCATGGAATTTTTTATACAATTTAATTAAGATACGTGATGTGGTAAATGTTTTTAGGAATTTTATTTGAAAAGGGGTATTTTTATTCATCTCTATTTGTGATACAATTTCTTTAAAAGTTATGAATTCATCGATTAAGATTTCCCATATTTTGCCTGCTCTGAGTTAATTAATCTTTGTTTGTTTGCTTATTTGTTTCATTTTTGTGAGTTTCCTCTCGCGGTTGCTTTTGTATTTTCTAAACATGTATAACGAAAAGACTTTTTTTGTGTGACTTAAATCATCCCTGGGTATGTAACTCTGCCATGCTAGTGAATTAGTTAGAGTACTCACTTTATGATTCTTACATTTATTGATATCAACCAATAATTTCCAGTCCCTCTAATTTATTCTAGCGCCGGAGTGTATAGTCGCTTCATTATAAGCATGACTAGAGGTTCTTTTTAGGACTTCAATTAAGTTTGTGTTTTTAGCATGTTTTTACAATCGATGATTCACAGGGGTACGGGCACATTTGAAGAAAAAAGGGTTTTGACAATAATCATCTTCTGCATATGTTCATGCCCTTGTTATAGGGTAAACTGCCGTCTACATTAATGTATTTTCTGTATTAATTTTGTCAGCAGAAACTTTTTGTATCCGAATGAAATGTGTACAAAATCTAGAATCAACAAGCAATTTGTATCATGAAAGCATGAAATATCGTAGGCCTATACTTAAAAATGTCTTTGAACTTCCCTGTGATGTTTCCTCTCTTTACTCCCTCTTTCTCTCTCTCTCTCTCTCTCTCTGTCACCCTCTCTGTGTCCCTCTACTCGCTACCTATCACACACATCGCCCCCTTTCTATCTCTCCCTTTCTCTCTCTTTCTCTCTCTCCCTCTCTCCCTCTCTCTCTCTCTCTTTCTCTCTTTATCTCTCCCCTTTCCATTCTATCGCTCTCTTAAATATACATCCACACAAACTACAGCCTATACACCTACTTCCCTCTCCCCCTTCCCCCTCCCCCTCTCTCTCTCTCTCTCTCTCTCTCTCTTTCTTTCTCTCTCTTTCTCTCTCTCTGTGACCCTCTCTCTTTATCTACATAATTATCTATCCTTCCCTCTCTCACCCACTCACTCACAATTTCTCTTCCTTTCTCTGTTTTTTCCTTCACCCCACTCGTTTTCTCTTTTCCACCGTAAATTTTCGGTTTCCATCGTTTACAGCATCATTATTCTTAATTCTCACCGTCGGCTTCTTCTTCATCATCCTTGCAGGTTGACTCGGGTCGGATGCGGGATAAGGATCTCGTTCGGGAAGTCGACCGGTGGTTCGCATCGGAGTTCCAGGACTGCGTTTACGAGGAGCACGAGGTGTGCTGGGACGTCAGACAACGGGGCGAGGTCGGGGAAAACATTTTCCATCTCTGCTATCTCAACAATACTGAGGTCCACCAAGCCATTGCTGAACATCTACTCACCCTCTACCCTAAGCTCGCTCTTGATATCTATGAGGGTTTCGAATACTACGGTATCTAAATTAGCCTCAAGTTCATACACTTTAATTCAAACATAGTAGTAGATATGACTAGATCAAATGACCATGACACTGGTATTCAATGGACCTTCAGGCACTTCTAAAAGAATTCATTATTTGATGCTATGGAAATTATAGCAAGGTCGAGTCAAGAATGGTCTATTTTTTCTTCTATTTTTTTGCTTCGTAACAACACCTTCTGACTAACTTAAAACATGTTCATTCTTTGAAATTGTCCGCCTTATTTTTTTGCATCAGTTATTAATGTTTTAGCTTATAATCGTATAAAAGCTCTTGATACAATCAAATGGAATCGATGCAAGCTCTCGACCGTTTATTCCATCTCGCACTCCCAGCCATGATAAGCGAAATGGGCCCGATATGCGACCTACTTTGATAACATTGAATTTGTCTAGGTCATCAATAAATAATTTTGATCAGGAGGCAGACCCCTAAACCACTTCCATTCCCTCGTTGATGTTTCTCGATGAGTAGTTGAGTACCACATGATTCAAGCCGTTGATAAATCATTATGTTCTCGTATCTGCAAATGACATTATTTGAATCTAATGACACCCTAATAATCTTGTGTCTACATTCTATAAATACATATGTAATAATGTCATTTGGTAGTAGTAGTAAAGTGTCAAGTCAAGAAGCAATTTCACTTTCTGATGCTGAAGAGCATTACACTGATGACATGGAGTGTCTGTTGGTCTGTTGATAGGGGTCCTGCAAGAACCTTGACTTGTGCATTGGGCTATTCATACACATTTATAATCTGAGGACATTCATTATCCTAATAGATGAGTGCGGGAACAAGATTCCAGCTTCATCATTTTAGAAGACCGATCAAGGAGATATCAAATGATTGCAATTATAGAAACATGAGGCATCTTATGCAAATATTTTTCGCCATGATACGTAAACAGAGGACGGTTTGATGAAGGGGAGGGGGTTATTTTGGTACTATATCCATAACATTTCGGTCTGGTAACTGTATTATTTTTATTTCACCACCAGGTGAATCTTGTCTCCACATCGCAATCGTTAACCACGACCTCCATTCTGCAAAGTTGCTGTGTAATTGCGGAGCTAAGCTCAACCAGAGGGCTACTGGCAGGTTCTTCCGACCATCAAAGAACCTAACAGATGGTAGGCCTACTAATAGTTTATTTTTGCCTTCATCGACATGTTTTTCTTTTGTGCCAAGCTGCCTTTGTGCCTCGTATAGGATCTAGGCCTGAACATAGCTAGATAAATGGTATGCATGCTAATTAGAATTATGATGACGGTTGTGACACTACTTGTCTGATACTTGGGACTTTTAGATTTGCACGACGAGAACGTGGACTGCTAGGTGTGACATCCTTTTAGTGCCCGGCAGTGCCTTAAAAGGACGTCACATTTCCTTAGAAAGGAGGTCACATGTTGCAGTCCACGTTCTCGTCGTGCAAATCTAAAAGTCCCTAGTGATGAGTCTTCGCGTCATAACACCAAATCTAACATTCGTAAATTTAGAAGTTCATTAACTATCTACTTTGAACGTTCTGTTTCATATCGCAGAACTAAGTCTTTTATTATTTTGCACCCATAGGTGTGACTGACAAGGATGAAGAAATAGACTGTCGAGGTCAAGCCTACTTTGGGGAGTTCCCCCTGGCCTTTGCCGCCAGCCTAGGTGACAAGGCCATCTATGACTTCCTGATAGAGGAAAGTGTCCGTGTGGATCGAAAACGTGAAATGGCCGTGAGAGGCAGAGTGAACCCAGACGATCAAGACTCATATGGCAACACTGTCCTGCACATGGTGGTCATCAACAACCAAAAGGTACTCGTGCATCCTAGGATACCAAAGTAACAATTCCATTACAGAGGCGTTACTTTAGGGTGTGTCAGACGAAATTTGCCAACAGGTTTCCAGGATATTTATAAAATGCTAACAAAAATGCCTAACAGGTGAAGGCAAACTTGACGATTTAAAGCTTTGTCGACAAAGAACAATCATGGATTGCCGATAGAAAATTTAAATGAAGGAGGGGTGAGTGCTACTATATAAAAACATATCAATCCCGATATCGGGTACAAACGCATGACATTAATATATCCTTCATGTATCGCCAAAAGTCCATATTCAAAGTATGCTCTTTTCCCTATGCCTCATTCTTCCTAAATTAGTATAGTTATAGAAATAGTTATAGTATAGACAAAATTAGGTAACGTTTCGTTGTATTTATCATCAGGGCAACAAAAATTGCCGCGTAGTGCTTGTGACTTTGTGGCCATGGAACTATCTAATCTATCTATCTAAGTATCTTCTCCCGGTTCGGAGGTTGATTGCAACATCTCTCCATTTCACTCTATCTTCTGCCATTCTGGTGCACTCTTGAAGTTTTAGTCCACTCCAGTTCTTGACATTCTCTTCCCAGTTGATTCTGGGTCTCCCTCTAGGTCTACTTCCTTCCACTCTTCCTTCCAATACATCCTTTAAGAGGCTTTCGTGCCTTTTAACATGACCAAAGTATTTGATTTTTCTCTCCTTAACTAATCCTACTAGTGCAATTTGTTTACGCCCTACCATGTGCAATATCTCTTTGTTGGTTTTCATTCGTTTCCAGGATATTTTCATCATTCTTCTGTAGATCCACATTTCAAAAGATGTTATTCTATTTTCCATAGAACATGGAACATACATCTATCAAATAGTCAACTCGTATTCGGTTCGTCTCTTCTCATTGTAGGAGATGTTGATACATGTTGTACGTCACAGCATCATGCCAGCAAACATAGCGATCAGAAACAACAACGGTCTGACAGCGCTCGAACTCTCCTTCCGACTAGGTCGATGTGCCCTGTTTGATACTCTCTTGGATCTAGGTAGCCAGAAGCAGTGGACCTACGGACCTCTCTCCTACGTGGCCTATCCTCTACCGGGACTTGACTCCATCGGTCCCAATGGACGCCTTGGTGAGTTACGGATTATTATACAACACCTCCGTGGATCCTTGTCATTTGATTGGAGGATTGTTGGTCACATGATATTCAATAGATGTTATATTGCACGGTTGTGCATTTTTGGTTATATGCGCCGTGCATTTTTGGTTATATGCAGACTGCGTACCTCTCTGCCGTGCGCGCGCTTATTCCTGCGTGTATGACGCAAAGGCAATCTGAATGTACGTAATCGAGAAGGCTTGACTCCAACTTTAATTTATCTTTAATATGAGGAGTAAAGCATAATTTGTTGATTAACGTTCTATTAGATCTTCTGTGATGTTGTATAAAACAAATAATGAATGTTTTTTATTCGTTCAATGGTGCGAATATTTTCATTCGTTGAAAGATTAACGTTAATTCTATTTAACTCTGCTGACGCCTCGTTGAATAGAATGTTAATCTTTCAACTCATGAAAATATTCGCACTATTGAACTCATAACCATTCGTCAATAGACCGTATTCCTGTTGTTTGTTCGCCGCCTAACATTGGTTAGGCTGTCATTCTGAACTGTGTAATTCCAATAAAGAAACACATGGCAATAAATACAAGAGGGGGACAGCATAAAGAGGGAACCTGGGGAGGTATTCTGAACATTGTTGTAAGTTTTGTGTTATCTTTTGTTGTATCTCACAGAGATAACACTGATTGATTGATTGATTGATTTTTATTCGACAAGCTTCCAACATACAACAATATACAATAATAACAGATCAAAAAAAGTCAGCTTGAACAGGATAACCCACGAAAGCTCGAGAGCTTATTTCCAGTGGGGTCCCTTACAGACATGTATAAAATTAATAAGTTAAAATAGTAATATTTACAGACAGATAAGAAAATTAAAAGAACTACTTATTAAAGATAATAATAATAACAACATTAAACTGATGATAGAAATGATATTAAGTACAAGAAGAAAAAGAAGAAAGAGAAGAAGAAAAAAAGGAGAAGGAAGAAGAGGAAAATAATGATGAATTTGTAGAATTTCTATAACGTACGAAAACATAAGTATATACAACATGAAAAAGTATGAACCGACAGAAGAATAAAAATTTCAATCATATAACATGTCATTCACTTCTCTTCTCTGACTGTCAAGTATTAGGTATTCCTTTAATTTCCTCTTAAAATGATCATAGTTTCCTATTTCTCACTATGAACATGACAGACAATGAAAGCGGACAAAATATACAGTTCCTCAGGTAGACAAAGGAACATCCCTTCACTGCTATTATGTAAAAAGGTGAATATGCATGTGACACCTGTTCTACATATTTTTACATAATAGCAGTGAAGGGATGTTCCTTTGTCTACCTGAGGAACTGTATATTTTGTCCGCTTCCATTGTCCGTCATGTTCATAGTGTCTTTTACACCATTGGGAAGGGAATTCCAATGTTTTATGGCATTGTAATAAAACGAATTTCCAATACTACCTACTCTTTCAGGTAAGTTAAAGTTGAATCGTCTATTTCTTGTATTATAATCATGTACGTCAGTAACAAGATCGAAGTTGGATCGAATATAATGATTTGACCTAGTATGATATATTTTATGCACATGATGCAATACGAGTTGTTTTGATCTTTGGTCGACTTCAAGAAAACCAGCTTTAGAAAGTTCGCTGTAGCCAACATGAGTTCTTGGACCAGAACAGTTGATAAATCTCACCATTTTGTTCTGTATAATCTTCAACTTCTTCTTCAACACAGCGCTAATATTGTTGTAAGTTGGTATTCTGAACATCATTTTATCCCTGTGTTATCTCTTGAAGGACCGCCTCTATCTTATCTTTGACCACTGTTGACACGCCCATTTGTATGGACCCTACCAATCAAAATCTGTTTTATATAAGCATGATAACTATTGATAAGTAGGTCAACCAATAGGAATACTTTATGCCATATCTGAAGATGCGCCTAGCACATACTAATCTTGGGCGTAATTAGTTATTTGAGCGCTTATTACGCGCGTCATTATTATGCGCTGTGGCCATGGGTGTCGATCCGTAACTGATACCTATTCATCAGGGGGATGATCTATTCATTCATCCCCCCCCCCCCTGATGAATAGGTATTACGTAAGTATCGACACCCATGGCTGTGGCATGTGGATCATGAAGACAAATCACGCTTTCACTATATTGGTTTAGATGAGAGCATTAAAATAGTCTTATCCTAGCATGTAATTTCTTAGAAAGTTCTCATCTATGATGTTTCCGGTCAACACACAATCTTCTTCTAACTCGTCTATTGGCACGAAGTTGGTTCTGGGCAAGAAATATTGCCGCCATTATATCACCACGAAAGATACAACAACCCCCTACCTGTTGTAAATATTGTTGTAAATACCATGCAAGATAAGATAAGATAAAAGATACAACAACTTTCAGAATACCAATTATCTCGACATATTCTCGTGCGCATATGCAAATGATGATTAAGCGCCATTTTATACCTAATAAGCACAATTACAAGCGCACCAAACTATAAGCGCAGGCGCGGCCAATGAGATGAGAGAAAAGATACAACAAAAGATAACACAAAAGTTACAACAATGTTCAGAATACCAACTTTATCTTATCTCCAAAGATACAACAGTATTAGAGATAACACAGGGTTCAGAATACCGCCCCAGGAAAGGCAAAAAACAGAGGCTGAAATAAAGATTTATGATAGTGAGCATATCAAACGTTTATTTACAGCGTTAACACATTCAGTAGGTGACTGCCCTCTTCCTATGCAGCCTTAATAAACTCTTGGGCCCGAATTCACAAAGCAAGGTTTGAGCTCAAACCTCCTTTTGTTTCGCCAAACCTCCTTTTGTTATTTACAAACCTGGTTTATAAATAACAAAAGGAGGTTTGGCGAAACAAAAGGAGGTTTGAGCTCAAACCTTGCTTTGTGAATTCGGGCCTTGGAGTTTGGTCCTGTGTCTCAAACGTTATTTACATGTACGTATTCCGAACATTATATACAAATCCGTTTTACAGAAGCCATCTTCGGTTTTGATATCTCCACCTTCCTCAATGGAGGTAATTTTAGAATTACTCAACAATGGTAATAGTAACTGAAAACAAGAAAGAAATTGTTGTAAAACCGATGATTTATCAGCATAATTAGCATGTGAGTACTGGATCATGGGTACAACGTTTAAGCGATTAGTTTTGCTGACACGACTAATTAGGCCGCTGACGTCAGCTCATCATTTTAAGTGAAACGTTATGCTGCACACGACCAGTCAATCGCAATTTAACGTGCGATTGGGTTCGTTTCCATCCATCTGAAACGGGCCACTTCAGCAGACACCAAAAAACAACCAATTAATCTAATTGTTTCGGAGACAGAAGATACTGAAACGGAAATTTAGGATGTCCTCCCGTACCACAAGGCGACGTTCATAACAAAATCAATATAGATGTTCTTTCATAATCTATAACAAATGATATGGTACATGCACATGCAGTTTAATCTTGATGAGCACTATTAATGATTGCTGTGCGTAATTTATCGGATGAACAGTAAAATTTGTAACCACAATTGACCTTAATCAGTGGCGTACGCAGGATTTTTTCAAGGGGGGGGGGGGGGTTTATCGGGTCCAAAATTTCGCAACGACTCAGGAAAATTTGAAAATCGCGCCGGCCAAAAAGTCGCTCAGTGGGGGGGGGGGGGGGGGGGGGGGGGGGGGGGAGGGGTAAGCGGACACTTTTTTTTTTTTTTGGTCTCGAAATTTGAAAATTTGACATTTTGCTCCGTTGGGGGGGGGGGGGGGGTAAGGTCACCTTTCTTAGGTCAGCCATGGGGGTAATTTTTTTTTTTTTTTTTTAATAATTAAAAAAAAAAAAAAAAAAAATCCAAAGGGGGGGGGGGGGGTTTTAGGGATTTTTTAGGGGGGTTTACACACATAAAAATACCAAAGGGGGGGGGGGGGGGGGGGGGGTTAACCCCCCAAACACCCCCCCCCCCCTGCGTACGCGCCTGACCTTAATCATGTACCTAATAAACATTTCGTATACAAAAACGTGTACCCAACTTTGGTAGCTCCTAATTAAAAAGGCATAACCAATATGACTTTGAAATTTATTTCATGATAAAGAATGACTTGTTTTCTGTACAATTATTATACCCTATTCATAATATTTCTGCCACTGGTGACTGAGCACTAGTGCCTTCAACAGTGGTTCAAAATCACCTTGTACCAAGTTTGGACCGATGGAACGAATTTGGATCATGCATATTGTGCCTCTTAGGTCAAAATTTTTAAAGTTAAATTATGCCTCGTGCTTCCGTGCTTCATTGTTTACCTTGTTCAATTCATATAGGATAACCTGTATTATTTAGTTTACAACACCCTTTATAGAATGTTCAGATTCCATAATATGCCATTGTGACGTTCATGCATTTCCAAACTTGGTGCATATACATAGAAACTGCCTTATCGCCAAAGTCTTTTGAAAATCTTTGCCATCATGTTCGATTAACATCACTATTTATATTACATGAGCAATGTTCTTATTTTAGTAACAGGAAATAAAATAACGCTTGAGGAACAAAAATCCTTTCCTCCTAGATGAGAATTCTGCCCTAATGACCATCGTACGTTTTGGACAGGCACAGCATCTAAAGATGTTGGAGGTACAAGTCGTCCACTTTCTTCTTCAAGAAAAATGGCAGCGTTTTGCTCGAGTAAGTACAAGATGAACATTACTCCCAAAAGTCACACATTCGAGCACATTTGATTTAATTTCACTGAATCTAATTCGAAGTAATGTATATATACATACTTGTACAATTTATTATTCATATTGTTTCAATGAATCTTTTAAATGTTTTTTTCTTCATATTTGTTATAATCATTATGCCTATGTATTGTAAAACGAAATATCCATGTACCATGTGAATGAAGTGTGCTAATGAAATACAAATACAAGAAACACGATTTTCTTACAGAAGCACTCCTAACCAGTATTTTACACGTTATGGACATGTGGAATAGAAACTTTAATGTATAACATTATTTTCCTCTTTCAGGCAAACACAAACAAACTTTAAATACTGTCCTCCTGTGAGAATGTTTCATAATAAGGTACCCTCCCATCCGAATTTAAGGAAAAGGGGATGGTGGTGAATTTTCCGAACACTCTCTCAAGAAGAAATACTTGCGAGGTTTTGACTGTAAATTTTATGTTTAAGTACTCATATACAGAAGCCATGTATATAATGCACTGTTAACTTTCTTACGACCTTTGATATCGTTAATGTTTTTGATATATATACTGTTCATTCATTTTACAATAAATACCTTTTGCACAATAGTATACAAATATACACTGCCTTGAGAGGTTCTGGTTAAAACTATGCGCAAGAGGTGACTCCAATAGTAGACCTACTATTTGCTGAGGGGCGCAGCCCCGAAGCAAATGGTACTTTTGGAGTCACGAGGCTCATAGTTTAACCAGTACCTCGAATAGAAGGCATGGTATATTTGTTTATATCCTGCATCAAAAAATTATTTAAAAAAAAAAAAAAAAAAAAAAACATTTTTTGGAAAAAAAATTTAGAACAAAAAAAATGTCAATTTTTATATAAAAAGATTTAAAATATTTTGTTTTCATTAAATTAAGATTTGAAAAAAAAATTGATTCAATTAATTTTTTTTTCTTTTTTTTTTCCATCTCCCAAATAGTAAACCAAAATAGTACTCTCATGTAGTACTTTCTAAAAATAGGTCAAATTTTTCTGGTCATGTGACGAGCTCTCAACCAATCAAAAGCCAACAAATTTTTGATGCAGGATATAATTATGACTATTACCATCATCATAAAAGTGCTTACGAATCTTTCTGGATCTTTCTGAATGTGTAAAGAATCAGGCCAAATAGGCCTTATTGATAATTTCTCTTGGCCAATCATAATGCAGTGTACATGGTGTATGTACCAGACATTCACAGAATGATATATAACAAGATAGGAAATGTTGCTATTTCGTCTGTAACTAACTGTGTATTATACTCTTGATAAATCGTCTCCATAGCAACGCCTCATCATGAAGTTCACCATCACCGTGGTGCAGCTAGTAGCCATGTGTATCGTGTCGTTCGCAAGGAAGAGGATAACACCAGGAGATGAAGATAGAGCACAAGAGAAGAAGTTCTTCAGCGGACAACACTTCAAGGAAATAACATTGACTCCTACGGTCATTGTAAGAAAAGAAAAAAAATCTATATTTAATAACGGCGTTTTGATTTGTGCATGTTCAGATGCCTTCTTGTGCATAAATGATATACTGTAAACCCCTAGTTGATAAATATGACGGTGTCATATCTATTAACTATTTGCAGACAGCGTAATGGTTTCCTACTTGTCTCAATTGGTTAATGTAACAATTTCTAATCGATATCGGCTGATTTGCTTAACAGAACCACATGGTCGTTCTAAAGTAGTATGAATGTTTTAATGTGATTTATGCAATGGTTAGTGCTTAACTTTACAAGGCATCACATTGAATCCAGTTTGTTATTTTGACATAGACGAATTTTATACAAGAGGTCATAGTGCCTAGAATCCAGAGGGTATGGATTTGAGGGGAGAAGTATAAAAAGTGAAAATAAGCTCTTTCATATTGCCGTATAGTGTTTTAATTACCAGTTCTCGTACTTAATTGCTCTATTTTCTCTCCTTGATAATGGATTATATCTTTATTTCTCACTTGTCGCGATATTTATCACTCTTTTCAAGCACCATACGGAAAGCTAAGTTATGATCATGTTGATTGGTCATGCTTCAATCCCCATTCCTAGGTGTATTAGTTAATTGTGTTTTTTCAGCAATCTATTATCATTTTATTGCGGTGTGTTTTTTGCTAAAACTCGAAATTGTGTCTGAGTGCACAATCTCCCCCTAAAGGCCAATCGTCTATAATGGTAGCAAATATCGTCTACGATAACGCTATATTAAGAAAATTATGTTCTATATAAAACCTGTCTAGAAAGTCCACCTGTCGAGAGTGATCATTTTACCTCTCTCTATCTTAGGTGATCTTATTATACATCAACATGTTCAACTAATTATATGGGCATGATTCAATTCTTAAATGACTGTGCATACGAATCTCTTGTGTGTTGTTGTTGTTGTTAAAACTAGGCAAGGTATATAGCCGAGGCTGCCGTTATCTTCATCTGTATATTGAGGATGGGGGAATCGGCTATGGAGATCAATTCAAGGCGTTCCTTCAAGAGCTACGCTAAGACACTGGTAAATTAATGAATTTAATTCTCTTTATATAATTTTAGTTCTTATCTTTTTGCAACCGTCTGTCATCTAAAGCATGTCAATTCAGGATTTAAAAATAAATATTTTCAAATTCAGTAAAAATAACCATTTTGAATGTAAGGATTTATAGATTGAGAAAGGCGTTTGTGATATTATATCTATTTCACGTAAAAGTGAGTACATTAGGTGGGTTTCATGAACACTTTCTTCTCTCTTTCTCACTTTTAATCATTAAATCGCTAACTTTTGATTTGTATTAATTTCTCTCTCTAAGCTCTCTTCATCCGTCACTCATTTTGTTCTATACAGTCGTTTCCATATGTATATCTTCTGTCGTATGAGAAAGTAGCCACTTCTTCTATTTTGCTTTACCCAATAATGATATGTAAATTGCTTTTAATTTTCTGAATTTATAAGCGATTCATAACTTTACAAACTTGAAAGTTGAAATTAAAAGTAAACTACATCATTTGAGACTCAAGAAATGAAAGCAAGTGGTAGGGCATCATATGTAAACTTAGAAATTAATGAATATTGATTAACTTCGTAGGGACTGTAACCATTGTTATTGTTTATGTTTTTATAAAATCATTAAACAAATTATTTTGTTTGTGCTTAAATTTCTTTGATTTACTATGATTGTTCTATCTTTAAATCTTTGAATAAAGAAATAACAAATACTGACTTTGTAAATAAGATCCTTTGTCTTTTGTAAATAAACTTTACAGTCTTACTTGATCACTTTCAAGTTATCAGTATTACTATTTGTTTTCATTTTATAATATAATTTTATATTTTTGTATTCATGTTTCATTGAACTTGACTTATAAATCAACTCAACATCAAACAAAAATAAAATCAGTATATGTTCATTGCTAAATACTTTTCATGCACTTTGCTCGTGCAAGCCTACACCTCTAACCATTTGCGTTTTTCTTTCTAGATCGAGCTTCCGAGAAGGGCTTCATGATCATAGCAACCATTCTCTTTCTCCTCTGCATCCCGTTGAGGTTCCTTGGTTACAAGTGGGAAGAAGATGCTCTTATCATCATTGCAAGCCCCTTGTCGTGGATGTACCCTCTACTTCTATAGGTCAGTTCAGTATGTAATTATAATGGTAGTTTGACATTGGCTTCGCGTTTTATTTACTCAAAAGTAAAGGGTTAGGGTTTAAAGAGCACCCGGGTTTCAGGTTGGTTTGGGTCAGGACTCAGGGTTATAGGGTATTATATTCTGGGTCCTGGGTTGAAGTTAGGAATTCAGTAATGATATACTCTTTATGCTATGCATATAGGTTTTATAATATTTGCAGTAAAGTATATGCTTTTATGAAATGTAAGACATTTGGACACAAAGAAGTGATAACAGATGTTTGATAAGAAGAATGTTAACGAACACTTAAATCGTGTTCTCTTTACATGCTAACATGAGATAACGCGATAAATTGCGTGACAGATCTCGCCACCTCGGCCAGAGGTGAAAAAGTTGTGACGCCATTTTGTTGTTCTATAAGATTATCAAAAGTGAAAACATTATACAAAGTAGGGAAATGTCATTTTTAGAAGCTTGTTTGTTTGTTTGTCTTTAGAGCTAATCAAAGCCTTGGTCCTTTGGTTGTCATGTTTGGACGAATGTGTCTCGGTGATATCGCCAAGTTTTCCATTCTGTACTCAACCTTCGTATTGATGTTTGCAGCTGGTAAGTCTAGTGCATCGTTTTTTTGACAAAATACATACAACATTCAAACATATATAATAAATAGTTTAGTCAGTGCTTCGTTTTTCCGAATATATGTTTTCTAAAACGCTTTAAAAACACCTGATAATGTATCTATGTTGTACTGAAATTAAAAACATTACAAATATACGTTCGATATACATGCATATCTATGTTGTGACAAATCCAAGACAATGGTTTATATTTCGCGTGGTATTTATCATTTGCTGATCTCTTTTAGCATAGCCGTCTAGTAAAGGTGTTTTACAATTATTCTTTGATTATTTCTGTTTTTATCGTTGACAGCATTCAACATTGCAGTGGACAGTGACGATAACTTTAAAGATTTCGAGGACTGGTTTGAATCGATAGCCACAACATTCTGTATGACCTTGGTAGATATGGAGTAAGTATTCAAGTTGAAGTGAATTATGTCAATATGTCAGGAAAAGGAATACGTCAGGTTTAAATTATTATTCAGCGAAATAATTAGTTTTTTGATCCTCTTAAAGGAATAAATTGGGTCACAAAAAGATCAGCCAAAGAAGTTCCCAAAATAGAACCATGATTTGATCATCTAAGCGAATATTCGATGTCGTGTCCAGTGTCCAGTTTTACAGCCCAACACTCATTAGTCATACATTAGGGGAGACAAGATTATTGGTAAAAATTAACGTTCTTGACTCTCTAACGGGGTGTCCTTGGTCGATCCTTGTTCGGTGCTAGCACTCTTTGACAGGATATTTTAACCACGTCCCTCTCGATCCACGTGTATTAGATTTGTACCTGATCAATATAAGGTAAGGCCACTGACAGAGCCTTCAGGAAGAACATTTTGATACTGATGAGGCTACCCTGAATAAACAAGACCATATTCTTATGACAACTATTATATTTTTACAAAATATCGAGAGAAAAATCTTACTTATGACCTTTCTTTTGTTACTTTTTATAACCTCAGGTTGTCAACACGAAGGACCATGCCAAACACCCTGGAATAGCTAGTTTTCTGATGGTCCTGTTTGCAATCCTTGTTCCTATCCTCCTGCTGAACATGTTGATTGCCATGATGGCCAAGACTTACTCAGAGATCATGGCCAGAGCGCTGATGGAGTGGAAGAGACAAGTGAGTTCCCTTTCTTCTGAACAAGATAATAATTTAAGAGATTTGACAAATTAAGCTAAGACTTCATTAGCCCTTTGTGTCACCTATTAAACGGTGCGAACATTACAATAGCATCTTAAATTATCCGACCATGATTACTGTACATGTCATAAAGGGGAGGCAATTAATTAAGGTATTGTACTTGCCCCTTGGTTGAGTTTCTGATGTCAGGATGTAAAGGCATAATTTATCAAAACATGAGGGATTTTTTAAAGGACGTCCTACGACAATGTTTCTGTGTTCCGAGATGCCATTGGTAGGCCGATACTTCCATGAGTCCTTCGCGTTTATAAGGTTAAGGTAAGCCTTTAACTGTTTTTCCGCCTCGAGGTATTATCAAATACATTATCTTTCCCTTTTACAACATATTTTCTAAGATATATTTTACATTTTCATTTCAACAAGACAATTCTCTAATCATGTAATATCCTTATTCCATCACGATTAAAAGTGTTATTAATCGACCTAAATAGCATCACATGATTCACAGCATTTATCAAAGTATAGACCTATGTAGGTCCACTTTTATCCTGTGCTTTTCCTTTTTTTTCTTCTGAATAATTCCAGTGGGCAATGATCGTACTTCAGGCGGAGCGTACAGTAGACCCGAAGCAGCTGGCCCTATACCAGAAAGCATACTCGGCATCCATTACGTTTGATCACCCACAAGCAACCAGTAAAGAGACCAACCGTACCAACTTCTCAAAGAGTCTTGCTCCACCCACCCTCCTAACGGTTGGTACCGAGCTTCCAGGGCCGATTGATATACGAGAGAGGCGCCGATCGTGGGTGACACTCGCTCGAGAACAGGAACAGTAAGCGACATTTCGTCAATAAATTTACAGAAATGTGCCCTTAAATCCCCTCTAAAGTGTTGGGAGCCCCAAATTCGCCGAAAATTTGATGGCAAAATTGTAATAATATTGTATCATAATGTGAAAGTGAATGTCATATAAGACACACTTCTGCAAAGATTTCCAACATAAAAATGTCTTTAAAGACAAATATGGCTTTAAAAATACATAATTTAGGTTTTCTGTTGCACACAGAAACTAAATTCGTCATTCTTTCATCAATATTCGCCTTCAAACACATTAGTTTCGAAAGTCCCTGCATAAATGTGTATTAAATAACAACCTTTTCCACATTATAATGTCACTTCAAGTCATATCTCAAAAACCAACTTGTTTCAGCAAATGTATAAATGCTTACTTTTCTGGAGAAACCTGCGTCTCTAAATGTTTTAACAGAATTATGGTGATGTATTAAGAATGTGAATCATCATTATTATCATCATCAAGTCAATTTATATGTCCATTTTCTTTCTTCTTCCAGGATCGACATGGAGGAAGAGCAGAATCTGCTAAGACGTAGACAGGATGACTTGCTGCCAATGGCTACAATGACTGGCAAGGGAGTCAGCTGTAGAGCTATACTCATTGAGAAGCTAATAAATCCCAAACCAGAGGCAGCTTAAGACTATTATTCATCATCAACGGTTTATTTGCTTCTCCATCTAATTTTTCTTCGTTATAATCTTCTTCATCCTCCTCGTCTACCACGTTTCCTTTTCAGTTCCACTGCTACCTAGTGATATTACTATTGCTTCAAGTTGTGCTGCTCCTTCTGCTGTAACAAGTAGTTGTATTAGCAACCCTACTTCAAATAATACTACAAATACTACTACAACATCTACTACTACTGCTGCTGCTGCTACTAATATTACTACTACTACTATTACTACTACTACTACTACTACTACTACTACTACTACTACTACTATTACTACTACTACTACTACTACTACTACTACTGCTGCTACTACTACTACTACTACTACTACTGCTGCTACTACTACTACTATTACTACTACTACTACTACTACTACTACTTCTACTACTACTGCTGCTACTACTACTATTTCCTATACATCGTCACTTTGCAGTTACTTTGCAGCTGCGGAAGAAAGATGAACAGGGCCATGTCTTACAAAGAGTTGCGATTGATCCAAATCAATCGTAAGTCCTCCAACCTATCGCAAGTTTGCAGTCTCCTATCTCTGATGTACATAGTTGCGATTTATATCAATCGCAAATAAGTTACGATTAATATCAACTCTTTGTAAGACAGGATCCAGATCTGTAGATACATATTTTTACATTTTATAGAACATATCAATTACAATTTCTGTTGAGTTATGTGTGTTTTTTAATCATGCATCTCCGCTATTGAGACAGTTGCAACAAGGAGGTTGATTGTCGAAGGTGAAGGTAAAGGTAGAATAGTAGTGAAATGACAAAATACAAATTCGATCTCATTCATCGCTTATAATCCTTAGAAGCTTGTTTGTAAAGTTATTAGATGCTTTATATTCCGAACACAGTCATATTCATGGTTTTGTTTGCTCGATAGTTCCCCTGAAAACCGTTTATGTCACATAACATTTGGTTTATCTTTTGGTTCAGTAATATATAGTCCTCTATTTTGAAAAAATTGTCTGACGGAATGCTTTTTAGACCAAAAGGAGTGTTTTTGTTCGCGTCGTGTTCATTATAATGAAATGATATGTGCCTACAAAAAAACGTCTTTAAAAACGATAATCAAAAGGCATCGACCAAAAAGGCCAAATCGATGTCATTTTACACTCTGCCACATGGTGTCTGGATCGTATTAAATTAAATGAATGCAAATCATTACAATAATAATAATAATAATAAATTATATTTCTATAGCGCATTATACAAGGTATGTCTCTATGCGCTTTACATTGTATTACAAGCTTAATTAATTACATACATCTACTATTGAACTATCCTCAAACAAAAATTCTGACAATATCTTAACTAAAATAGTATAACAGTAACTAGATAGGTAAACATTATAATTCATTCTTAAATAATGATAAAACAATTATGGTTCAAGATTTTATTTATATATTACTAGTTGTAGGCATATACAATTTCAATTCAAATTATAGATTAATAATTAATTCTTAAAAAGGTAGGTCTTAAGTGCAGTCTTGAAGGTCTGGATGGAAGGTGCAGTTCGAATGGCGAGCGGGAGAGAGTTCCAGAGGGTGGGAGCATTGAAGGTGAAGGAGCTACGGCCGTAGTACTGGGTCTTAAAACGAGGAATCTGGAGAAGATGTTTGTTCTGGGATCTGAGAGCACGGGAGGGTGTGTAGGTGTGAATGAGTTCAGACAGATAAGAAGGGGTAGAGTTAGAGAGAGACTTGTAGGTGAGAAGTAGGATCTTAAAGTGAATCCGCTTGTTGATTGGGAGCCAGTGGAGGTTACGGAGAAGGGATGTGGTAGAAGTGAGACCAGTTGCTTTCTCTGTGATTCTGGCTGCGATGTTTTGAATTCTTTGAAGCTTCATCAGTTCGTTGGCAGGAAGATTAGGAAGAAGTGCATTGCATGTGTCAAGTTTGGAGGTGACGAAGGCATGGATGAGAGTAAGAGTTGTCTTCCGGTCTAAAACCCTACGAATTTGACCTATCTTTCTGATGGATGACATGGCAGAGCGACACACCCTGCGACATGAGATTTCCTAGTGGCGTGCTCATCGAATATGATTCCCAAGTTCCTAGCCTCGGCCTTGGCTTCAATAACTGACTCACCAACTGTTACCGTAACAGAGGGAGTTCTTGGGAGGAATCTGGAGGAAAAGTGAAGAACTTCCGTTTTGCCGTCATTAATTTTTAACTGTTTAAGCCTGCCCAGGAGCGGATGTCAGCTATGCATCTGTTCACTCGAAGAACGGCAGATGCTCTCTCTGATGGGTCGAAAGACAGGTAGATCTGAGTGTCGTCAGCATATAACATTGACTGAATTCCATGCTCAGATATGATGTCATGGATTGGGGCAGTGTACAGGGTAAACAGCAGCGGTCCAAGTACCGAACCTTGGGGTACGCCGCATGTGTCATCTACTGGTCCTGAAGAAGCAAGGCTCACTCTTACCACGCAAATCAAATGGGCCTATGTGGTGATATACAGTGTTAGAAAAGGGAAAAAGGGAAAACACGAGAAGAGGTAGGTGGAGAGAAAAGAGGGAAAAACGAGAGAAGTAGTAGAATATTGAAAGGTGAATCGTGTAGTATTTTCCGGTGACCATTAAGGTGATTGAATCTATCTCAGCTGTCATTTGCTCTAATTAGAATAAAAACATGAAATGGTATTTGAATATATATTTAGCTTAAACATTTCATTTTTCATGCAATAATTATTAAATCAATCCTGCAAAAAATCTACGGTTTATGTTGTCTTCCCTTTATTCATTTTATTTTTGGTTGCTTGTGCTATTGATGTGATGTGATGTAAAACGATGGTTCTCAGAAGGAGTTCAGTAAACAAGAAAAGGAGACAATAGTCAATTCAACCATAAATTACAGAATATATAATAAACCTATTATGTCGAATTTATCCAGTGATCTATGAAAAAAAATCAAAGCCAGGATTGTTTGCAGTTTGCCTAATCTAAGATTGGCTGTTTACTTGTCAAGGGCATGGGAATGACTGGAGGAAAATATAGGCGTACGGGTCAGAAGTTATAATGCAAATACTAGAACGGTTTGTTCCCTGAAGTTTATTGAGCATTAACAAAGATAAACAATTTTTTTCTCTTGAGTTCCATTAGACTAAAATGACACAGAGAAGTATAATAGTATCCTTCAATTTTGGTATTTCTGCAAAATATACTTTATCAAACCTTATACATTTACGCACGGTTCCAAAACAGTCTAGCTTTATTCATTTTAAATAGTCACCATATTATTTATTGGATTCTTATTTTAAAAGTCTGACAATACACAAAATAAGTCTAAAATAATTTTTCTTTTATTTGACCGGCATTTGTTAAAATTGTTCAAAGCTGGTGGCAAAATCTTGTATAAATTCATGTTCGACATGTAAAATATATATTTTTCTAAATTTCTACTGTAAAAATGCCTTATATACGAATCATATATATCAATGAAAACTTTGCAATTTGTTTAGTATAGAACATTCATTTGATTGCGCTAAGCTCGCATCACTTTCTGAATATATATTTCGGATATCAAATAGCACAATAATTGTAGTCTTTGTATTGGTCAAATGGTACGGGAAACCATGAGTGATATTAAGAAAAGTAAGTAGAATCTGACAGAATTATGTTATTTGAACATTACATTATGTGATTTTCGAAAATTTAACAGAAAGGTAAATTCTGTTATAAGAGATTGGCAGAATTTAATTCATTTTTCTCAGTAGCATTAATAGTCGTTCGTACTAAAAAGATCCTAATCAAAAATATTTTACATAGGCTATATGATAAATACAATTCAGAAGTTCTCTTAGTAAGTTTCATGCATTAAAAAAAAAAAGGTAGACTTTACCATTGGTCTAAAATTGCAATATTAATATAAAATTGCCCTTTGAATAAATTTAACGTAAATTACACTTTAAGCTTTCGACTTACAAATGACCATGCACAATATCTACAGCGGCATTCGCGATCGAGGTAAAACAGATACATTAATTTGCTTGTCATGTATTCTTACTAGGTTGTGGGAGTGCTAAGAAGTCGTGTTTGAATATTTAGACAACTTAAATGTCGTTATATATCTTATAAGTACTGCTATGTAATCTAATTTACAAGTGACTGTAATGCGCACAATATGTACAAACTTGCAAAGAATCCCGGCATATCTATACCAAAAAAAGGCAACAGTTACTTGGGGTCTTCCAAAGGATATGATCAACTCTCTGTTCAGTTTTTAACAAATCAAATAACTACAAAAATAACATGTATCAACGAAATCAACAACCATAAAACTGCTTTAAAAGTGATTATGTTTCATATTTCATTATGCATATCCTTCTTCGGTTTTCAATCTGCTTCAAAGCAGGTGTGACGTGATTTCATCTTCGGATACTCTGTAATGTTACCTAAGCCAAGATTTATTTTTTGAGAGTTATTATTTGCCTTGCAGAGAAATAGCATTAAGGTTAACGAATCATTTCTAACGAAGATGTTAAAACACTACAAACGGTAGACGATACATATAGAATTTCAAAGCCTTCAATAATGGCGGGAAACTGAGTTTTACTCAACATTTTTACAACTGTTAAAGAACTATATTTGCATAAAATGTCAACTTGGCAAGTATGATACCAGTCTAAAGCCAGGTACTTTCCTCAAAGTATTTATTCCATTTTAGAACAAACAGTATTTGTCTCTAATTGAGAGATCATATAGCTGGGAGGCACAAGAACTATGTTGATTCCTTACCCAATTTATTTTTGTCCTTATAATAAATTATTTAATCAATTGTTATGAAGGCTATCAAGATATTTAAGGCCTTGTGTCCCTTTTGCATAATGCACCAAATTCACTAAAACTTTGCTTGAATCACATGTATTTTCAGGGCGTGTTTATGGTTAACTTTTTCTGGCCAGAATCAGGCATCTGTTACGCGTTTAGTTTAAAACACGGTTGCGTCCTTTCTCACTTTTGTAGAATCACCGAAAAACGGCGATCACGATCGCCGATCGTAAACTCACAAAAAGATGCGTTTAAAATTTGTAAACGCGTTTAAATGGGGTCAACGCACTGACCTCTAGTGGGTCTACGTAGCATGCACAGTGCAGGTTTGCGAATCCAGCTGCTAGGCCAATTAAGGCCACCCAAGGAGAATTGACTGGAGGAGCCAGAGAAGTGAGCATAAACAGTACACCGTGGAACTGACGATGAGCGTTACAAATCGCTCATTCTGCCTTCAAAATTTAAGCTTAAACGCACCCTAAGTATGTCTTGTTTCTCAAATCAAACACTGAAATTATATAAGAGCAATATTTGAGAAAACACCGATAACAAAAAATAAGAAACTCATGAATGTTTAAATTGTATTTAATCAAACACGAATGGGCAACTCTGTGACATTTCTTTCGAAGTGACGTGTCTTTCTGTTAATTTCATTTCCTAATTAGTTGTAGATGAATTATGAATGTATGTATCTTTCGATACAGGGTTTGTGTAGAAATACAATAAAATATATGTGCAATGATTATATCTAGAGGGAATGCATGATTACATATTTTCTTGAGGGAAAATATCATTTCAATTGGAGAGGATCTCACATAGTCCGTCACGAGTTGTAAAATTGTGTTTCATAACTTCCTTATTCTTATCTGATTGCTTTCACCGATCTGTTTCTCTGACTTTTCTGCTCCTGTCAAAACTAACTTCATATCAGGGTGGAATTCCCCGAAACAAATCTTCCATGTCTTCACCTGTGGAACGTTGTGGTTTGCTCCGGATTAACACCAGACGGTAGATATGTGGTGCCACTCATCGGTATACTGCTGATAGGCTCAATATAGTCCTGGGAATACTGAGAATCCTGTTCCAAAATTGAAGTGAAAAAATCATTCAAATATACCTATTTATATATTAAAAGGTAAAATTACACCAAAAAGGCAGGAATAAATCTAGAAAGGTGTCAAACATTATGCCAAAGTGTCAAAACTTTGTTTGCTTCTTTTTTTTTCCCGCGATGTCCCCCTACGTAGCATAATAATTATTATATACCTTACTTTAAGAATCTTTCCCAATCCTTTAATCTGATTTTAAGTTGTGCTTTTAACTATGCCCGAAAAAGTTTAACTACTGCCCGCAAAAAATGCGGGGTTGTAAAATTTTGCTGTGATCCCCATTGGTTTTAGGGTAAAAAATTACTTTGTGCGAGCTCGAGCGCGGATACCATAATCGCAGTGCGATTAGATCGCTAAAATGTTCTGTTCTTCAGGAGCACAGTTTTGCTTTTACTGTACTACTGGTTCACAGTTTTTAGATGCGTGGACCCCATGATTGGTAAGTGAATCGCACATGTATTCTTTGACTGTTTTTATGGTATATAAAAGATATATTTACTGCTCTAGTATTCGGGGCATACTTGTTTCGATAGGCACTCGGGGACGTTACATCCTATTACGACCCCTCGGCGTGGCGCACCTCGGTTTCATAGAAGGATGTAAAGTCCTCTTGTGCCTATATAAAGAACCATGCCTCTCATAGCAGTCAATATATCTTTATGACTTACGCGATTCTGAGCAGGGCCCACGGGTATGATAGAGGCGTACTCAGGTGGATTTCGGTTCCCTGGTGAATGAGCTTTATCTTCACGGAGCTTCTCATAATCAACACCACCAATGGCGGAACTGTCCAGTTCTAGGTAGTCGCCCCCATGTGCCCCTCCTTCCTTCAAAGGTGGGATTGTCTCGTACTCAGGAGGCCGATCGGGAGGAAGGGAGGTGGGTAAACATAGGTAGCCGTGCTCTCTGCTGACATGTACTGGTGATTGATGTTGGAGCCAGGCCCTTCTTGGTATCGATGAGATGAATTGTTTGCCGGAATGAGGTCGTTTTGGGAGCAAAATTCAGGGTTGGTGCGTGACGCACCACGTGCTTGTTTCCCACTTCGGTAAACCACCACACAGACGAGGAATGTGATGAGTAGAAAGGCGAGTACTAGACTGGTACTTAAAGCGATGATGAGCACATCGTTTGATTTATCTGCAAGACGAAATTTAAAGACATTATAGGATGATATTTTGCCATTATGTATCGCCTTTTCCTTACCCATCACCAAAGTCCTCATCAGCTACTCACTACCTCACTCAGTTTGTTATTATCCGTAATAGTTATCAATAGTCGTTTTGTCTGAACATTGATTAGGGAAATAATTAAAAGTGAATGATAGCTCATTTCACCAAAATCTTATGACTTTTTAGAATTTTACACGAATATCAGTCTCTGACATTGATTTGATTTGATTTGATTTGATTTATTTATTTCTGTTTAATTTTCTTTTTTTCTTTGCATTTTAACAAATATATAACAAACAAATATTGCAAATTAACACATGACAAAAGAATATATGTAGAATAAAGTAAGGCTGGCTGTAACATTAGCTCTTATCATGCCACAGGGCCAATCCCCATTGTATCAAGCCCCAAATTCCCTCCGTGCCAAGTTTATTTTGAGATAATCTGATTAACGCGATGGTTCTACGAATAGCGCGTGCAAAAAAAAAAGTACACTACAATGAGCATGAACAACAACTGCTATTGTGTATGCGTGCAAGCACACACAGGGCAGTGAATCAATGGCTTGCTGGCATGTACAAAGCACTTTAACGATAGCATGCATGCAGCCTTATGGGAGGCTATGAGTTAGAAAGAGGTAAATTAGCTCAGTTAATACATAATATCGTTTTTATTGCTGTTCTTACAAGTCTGAGACCCGCCCCTCCCCCCCCCCCCCACTCAGGCGCGTACACAGGGGGGAGGGGTTGGGGGGTTAAACCCCCCCCCCTTTGGTAATTTTTTGTGTGTAACCCCCCCCCCCTAAATTTCTCTAAACCCCCCCTTTTGGTTTTTGTTTTTTGTTTTTTTTTTTTTAATTTCAAATTCCGAGACCCCCCCCCCCAAAAAAAAAAAAAAAATGTGTCCTCTTACCCCCCCCCCCCCCCGCTTATTCAGCGGTCGGCTGAGTCGTTGTGATTTTTTTTGGGGGACCAAAAAAAAAAAAAAGTGACCTCTTACCTCCCCCCCCCCCCCCCCCCGCTTATTCAGCGGCTGGCTGAGTCGTTGCGAAAATTTCGGCCCGATTTATAAATGTTAAACCCCCCCCCCCCCCTTGAAAAAATCCTGCGTACGCGCCTGCCCCCACTCATTGTTATTTAGGGAACGCATATGCGTGTTCCCAGCGACCTCCCCCTGCTTTTCAGCAAAAGTCCGGTGTGTTAAGTCAATACGGGTCGATCTTTTTCTTTTGTTATACGAGCCTTTTTAGCACCCCCCCCCCTTTCAGCAAAAGTCCGGTGTGTAAAGTCAATACGGGTAGACCTTTTTCTTTTGTTACGAGCCGGAGAGTTTGGGAACACGCTTGGTATCCCTCCGTTCACGGAGTGGGGGGGGGGGGGCGGGGTCTGAGAACGATTGCTGATGAACAAACTTTGCTTACCCGTTATAGATCGCAACGTTGACAATTATAGTGGTTCTAAAATCACAAGATCAAAAGCATTACATTGCAAATAAACTTATACAAGATAATCGGATCACAAGGAATGTCTAACATACCTACTGACAAGGCAACTATCTTGCACATAGAAATATTGTCTGAAAACATATCATAATTTGTCCCTGTTTTCACGAAGTCACGGTAGTGAAAAAAATTGCATTCACTTTGCGTTACGATTTTCCTCACTACCGTCACTATAGGGACGAATTGTGTATATTCAACATGTCATTTTATTTAATAATAATAATAAAGTCATTTTTATATAGCGCATAATAATAAATTCTCTATGCGCTTTACAACAATCAATTATACAATAAATTACATGATTTATTTACAACTAGGCCTATATTACCTTTCATTTATGAGCTGTAGAAAAAAAACCTGCTTAATCTGAAAACGGCAATCTGATAGGTTTAGTACGGTATAGTACATTGGCATTTTGGGTGATACTGATTATGTTCCTAATTATGTTCCTCACAACCGTATGTATGCTACTGAAGGATAAATATGTACTTCCTTGTAGCCTACTAACACGATAGCAAAGACTTTCAAAGTAGTCACCCGAAGAATCAAAAGTGTTTTGAATTGATGCAAAATTTGTTTCATTGCAAAGGGGAAGCCTCACTGATCAAATAGAACAACTTCCCTCTTAAAAATAATTATGTTTGGCGCAAGCAGTAATCATCTCTCAAGAATGTTGATTTTGAGAACCAGATTTTCTGCCTTCAACGGTCCTCTGTAATAGCGTAAAGATTCATGACGTCACATGCGAGATACAGTTAGCAACAGCACTGCATTTTACGCCTTTCCATGATATTTATATGATTGTTCAGCAAATTATTCGTGTTTTCCAAGAGAAAATCTTTCCATCTATATATAATTTGTACATAATTATCACTTGTCGTGAATTTTCTTCGGGTGCCTACTTAAAGGCAAATTCAATAACTTATCGTATTGTCTATGGACTCATTTTCGGATTACGTAATTTTTCACCCTGAGCCATGTTCGCCCATTTCAATAGGTAACGCTTATACTAGACTACCAAAATTGCCTTAGACTGATTTCTTGAAAGGTTTTGCGATCATATCAATTGAAAGATCATCAATTTCATCAAGTTATCATTATGATGTTTGCCTAGTTGTACAAGATCATCAAACACTTTGTACCATGCAACAAGTTCAATAAAAGCTAGAATAGTTTGTCATGATCCTTACCACTGCGAGCTGTAAATGTGGATGTTGATGTTTCATGCGTAGATGGGACACGTGTCGAGGCATCTAAAATAATATGTGAAACAATCTCTGTCAGAATATTTATAAACTAGTCAGAATATCTTCTTTTCTGTCCCCATCACACTTACACAGCTTACATACAAATTCACGCACACAACCAGCTCCCCACAAACACACACACACACACACACACACACATCATTGACCTCAAGAACATAGTATTAATTGTATACATGATTATGTAAAGAGAGCTTATTCGGTTTTGACCTTTTGTAAATATGTTCAATAACTTACTGTCACCCATGACTGTAAGCCCTTGATGATAAGGTTTACAAGGGTTCATAATCAAGTCCATAAAAACAACATTAGCAAAAAATGCAGACATATCATGCTAACAATTATTAATACACCATGGGCTTGCTGTAAACAAAATTATCCTGAATAAATATTTTTAAATAAATAGATAAATGACTACAATCGCACCGTATCACATTTTTCCGATTTCTCTGTTTTGGACTTTACACTAAATTTTGTCCGTATCGTGTAATTTTATTTATTTCCATATGAAATAATAATAATTCCTTATCATGTTTATTTCCACAGGTAACTTCCATATTTTACGTACAGAAATTTCGTTATGCCGTTTAAAGAATATATAGACCCTTTCTACAATAAAGAATACATAGTCTCATGTGATAGTTCGTACCTGTTTCGTCTGAGGTAGATGCACTTGGGGTTGTAATCTTTGTAATGTCTGCTCAAAATAAAAGAAAACATTTATGACGAAGCCTATCGATAGCAAGGGCGAATCTCGGATTTGTGAAAACGAGGGGCACAATATTCTTCAAGATTTTCTGACATGCTAATGGGGGGGGGGGGGGGGAGGGGGGTACATTCTTGGAGTGGTATACTTAACGTATGCAATACACAATGTCCCAAATATGAGCGAAACAAAATTGTGTATTCCATATTTTCAAGTAATCCATGCTTGGCTATTTAAGAACACTTTATTTCCATCCAATATTTTAATCATACCATAACTGAGACGTAAAAAGAAAAATGTTAAAATCATGTATGACTTTAATTCAAAATCCAAATAAGTACAAACTTGCAATTTCAAATGACTATAAGTTATGGCTATTACATCGAAATTATTAGAGGTTTTGAAACCGTTCTATTGAAGGGATTTACATTACATCATGCATTATTTTCCTACCTGTAGTTGAACTCTGTGGTGATGTTTGAGGGCTTGACCCAGCCGTTGTAATTACTGTTAATAAAATAACAATACCAGTCTGACAATTATGAATGTTGGCGTTTCTCAAGTGAATACATGGTTTCAATGTTAAAGCCTCCATTAAAGTGTAAGGGGACACTTTTTTCTTTTGTTTTGGTCACAAAATATTTAAAATTGACATTTTGATCCGTTGGGGGGGGGGGGGGGTAAAGTCACCGTTTTATTTTAGGTTAGCCATTTGCATATTTTTTTTTTTTTTTTTTTTTTTTTTACAACATTTCATTAAAAAAAATTCATGTTAATAATTGAACTTTGCCTGTGTACCAACATGAAAAATGATTTGTTTGGGTGTATACTTAGTTACAGACTTGGCCAGCGTACCTCAAAGAATGAAGTATAGCTATATAAGTATGAATTAATATTTAACAATTGAATTCGCAAACCATGTGCATAATGATATAAAATAGTGTAATAAAAGTTATGAATTCCTTCAATTCAAGGCTCTCTTCTGTTTCCTTGATCCATTTTTGGGGTCTCTCCAAGAATTTTGAATTTTGAGAACCAGATTTTCTGCCTTCAACGGTCCTCTGTAGAGCGTAAAGATTCATGACGTCATATGCGAGACACAGTTAGCAACAACACTGCATTTTACGTCTTTCCATGATATTTATATGATTGTTCAGCAAATTATTCGTGTTTTCCAAGAGAAAATCTTTCCATCTATATATAATTTGTACATAATTATCACTTGTCGTGAATTTTCTTCGGGTGCCTACTTAAAGGCAAATTCAATAACTTATCGTATTGTCTATGGACTCATTTTCGGATTACGTAATGTTTCACCCTGAGCCATGTTCGCCCATTTCAATAGGTAACGCTTATACTAGACTACCAAAATTGCCTTAGACTGATTTCTTGAAAGGTTTTGCGATCATATCAATTGAAAGATCATCACTTTCATCAAGTTATCATTATGATGTTTGCCTAGTTGTACAAGATCATCAAACACTTTGTACCATGCAACAAGTTCAATAAAAGCTAGAATAGTTTGTCATGATCCTTACCACTGCGAGCTGTAAATGTGGATGTTGATGTTTCATGCGTAGATGGGACACGTGTCGAGGCATCTAAAATAATATGTGAAACAATCTCTGTCAGAATATTTATAAACTAGTCAGAATATCTTCTTTTCTGTCCCCATCACACTTACACAGCTTACATACAAATTCACGCACACAACCAGCTCCCCACAAACACACACACACACACACACACACACATCATTGACCTCAAGAACATAGTATTAATTGTATACATGATTATGTAAAGAGAGCTTATTCGGTTTTGACCTTTTGTAAATATGTTCAATAACTTACTGTCACCCATGACTGTAAGCCCATGATGATAAGGTTTACAAGGGTTCATAATCAAGTCCATAAAAACAACATTAGCAAAAAATGCAGACATATCATGCTAACAATTATTAATACACCATGGGCTTGCTGTAAACAAAATTATCCTGAATAAATATTTTTAAATAAATAAATAAATGACTACAATCGCACCGTATCACATTTTTCCGATTTCTCTGTTTTGGACTTTACACTAAATTTTGTCCGTATCGTGTAATTTTATTTATTTCCATATGAAATAATAATAATTCCTTATCATGTTTATTTCCACAGGTAACTTCCATATTTTACGTACAAAAATTTCGTTATGCCGTTTAAAGAATATATAGACCCTTTCTACAATAAAGAATACATAGTCTCATGTGATAGTTCGTACCTGTTTCGTCTGAGATAGATGCACTTGGGGTTGTAATCTTTGTAATGTCTGCTCAAAATAAAAGAAAACATTTATGACGAAGCCTATCGATAGCAAGGGCGAATCTCGGATTTGTGAAAACGAGGGGCACAATATTCTTCGAGATTTTCTGACATGCTAATGGGGGGGGGGGGGGGGGGGGGTACATTCTTGGAGTGGTATACTTAACGTATGCAATACACAATGTCCCAAATATGAGCGAAACAAAATTGTGTATTCCATATTTTCAAGTAATCCATGCTTGGCTATTTAAGAACACTTTATTTCCATCCAATATTTTAATCATACCATAACTGAGACGTAAAAAGAAAAATGTTAAAATCATGTATGACTTTAATTCAAAATCCAAATAGGTACAAACTTGCAATTTCAAATGACTATAAGTTATGGCTATTACATCGAAATTATAAGAGGTTTTAAAACCGTTCTATTGAAGGGATTTACATTACATCATGCATTATTTTCCTACCTGTAGTTGAACTCTGTGGTGATGTTTGAGGGCTTGACCCAGCCGTTGTAATTACTGTTAATAAAATAACAATACCAGTCTGACAATTATGAATGTTGGCGTTTCTCAAGTGAATACATGGTTTCAATGTTAAAGCCTCCATTAAAGTGTAAGGGGACACTTTTTTCTTTTGTTTTGGTCACAAAATTTTTAAAATTGACATTTTGATCCGTTGGGGGGGTTAAAGTCACCGTTTTATTTTAGGTTAGCCATTTGCATATTTTTTTTTTTTTTTTTTTTTTATACAACATTTCATTTAAAAAAATTTGGTCGTGGGGGCACGCCCCTGTTTTTCAGTACATTTTAGGCGAATTTAGGGCTGATTTTAACATATTTTTTTTGGCCGGGGACCACATGCCCCCTGTGTCCCCCCTCCCCCTGGATCCGCCACTGACTATAATTATCATTGCAGCATAAGCTAAATCCAGAATTTTGTTTCAGAATCTGAGATAAAATTACCGGGACCCTTTAACGAGTAACATATCACGGGTTTTATCAACACGTCTGTTTGCACTAACATTAATTGTGATTAAGTTATGGGTTGTTTCGATAATCAGCTTGTAGTTTAGTTTGTGATATGAAAAGAACATAATTTACGACATAATTATGGAAAGGTAATTACGCATTCATGTTAATAATTGAACTTTGCCTGTGTACCAACATGAAAAATGATTTGTTTGGGTGTATACTTAGTTACAGACTTTGGCCAGCGTACTTACCGGAACCCTTTAACGAGTAACATATCACGGGTTTTATCAACACGTCTGTTTGCACTAACATTATTTGTGATTAAGTTATAGATTGTTTCGATAATCAGCTTGTAGTTTAGTTTGTGAGATGAAAAAACATAATTTACGACATAATTATGGAAAGGTAATTACGCATTCATGTTAATAATTGAACTTTGCCTGTGTACCAACATGAAAAATGATTTGTTTGGGTGTATACTTAGTTACAGACTTTGGCCAGCGTACCTCAAAGAATAAAGTATAGCTATATAAGTATGAATTAATATTTAACCAGTGAATTCGCAAACCATGTGCATAATGATATAAAATAGTGTAAAAAAAGTTATGAATTCCTTCAATTCAAGGCTCTCTTCTGTTTCCTTGATCCATTGTTGTGGTCTCTCCAAGAATTTTGAATTTTTTCTATTTATAGGCTATTCCTATAATTTGAATAGGCCTACAATATGTCGATACACAAAGGAAGGGTTGACACTAGGGCGTCTTTAAGGGTGAGATGTCTTAGGAATCTGACAAGTAAATATATGTCATTATACAGTGTGTCCCGAAAAAAACTATACACTTTTGAAATGGCTGCCGAATAACAAATATATGATTCTAGGGGGAAAAGTTATATACGTATGGAAAGCTCATATACTCAACTTTCATATGACACCAAAAAGTTTGAAAATAATTCATGCTTGGGTGAGCACTGCTCTCTTTTGTAAAGGGTATGGAAATTAGGTTGCGCAGGAATTAGCCTTCCAATTTGTGAGAGGTAAATCCTTTGGAGCTTACAACATTGAGGGTGATATGATACATTCATGATTTGCTGAGTGAATTTCATGGTTTATTAAACCAAACTTTTATGCACGGAACAGGAATTTAATTTTTTATTCAAAGTCACAAATGTAAGAGAATAACAGTTTGTAACATGGAAATTACAACATGTACCATCACCCCATCCTGACTCCCATAAACACACCTGAGTCTACCAGTGAAGTTACAGTGCTACAATAAAAAAATGCAATTCCTGTTAAGTCATGCATAAAATGTTAATCCCATAAACCAAACATTTCACTCAGCAAACCCAAACTTATCACAATTGATCATAAATTGGTCATATCATCCTCAATTCCGTAAGCTCCAAAGGATTTACCTCTCACAAATTGGAAGGCTAATTCCTGCGCAACCAAATTTTCATACCCTTTACAAAAGTGAGCAGTGCTCACCCGAGCATGAATTATTTTCGCAACTTTTTGGTGTCATATGAAAGCTGAGTATATGAGCTTTCCATACATATATAACTTTCCCCCCTAGAATCATATATTTGTTATTCGGCAGCCATTTCAAAAGTGTATAGTTTTTTTCGGGACACACTGTAGAGTTGTTAATTTCCGAGAGTTCCGTTTAACAAAATAGGGGGCAGTCGAGGGGACTAAACTCCCCCCCCCCCCCCCCCGTATCACCGTTTTGGATAGGCCTACACAGGTTACTGTCAAATCCTCAACAAAGGGGCAAGGAAAATGAAGGAACCTACGATTTTGGCAAAGATCTCCAATGTAACCGGTAGGACAGATGCATCGGAAGGATTCCAAATCATCATAGCAAGTTCCTCCGTTATTACATGGTGAATTCAAACATTCATTGTTCACTGGAAAAGAATGAAATACAAATTTGTTAAAGAATGTTCGAGGAAGATTGTGTGTGGTATTAGGAAGGTAAAGAAAGATTGCTGAAGGAAAGAATTTTCTGCAGTATAGGTGACAGACTGCAAACGTAGAGACCGATGTCACATGAGACTTAATTTGTTATTGATGCCTTCTTTCTATTATTATTAGGGACTTTTAGATTTGCACGACGAGAACGTGGGTTGCGACGTGTGACATCCTTTTAAGGCAATGTGACGTCATTTTAAGGGACTGTCAGGGACGTCACATTAATTGCCCTAAAAGGATGTCACACGAGCAGTCCATGTTCTCGTCGTGCAAATCAAAAAGTCCCTAGTAATAAGGATAAGAGAAAAGGGAAAATGGTACGTTAAATCGTTCTTCATCTAATTATACTGTGATTGTACCAGTCTTTTAGTAAACGGTCGGGTTTATTTCCTTACTCTGGAAATTTGAATCATACATATAGAAATAGTTTAAGTACCTTAATTACTATAATAAATAGTATAGGTCCTTTGGAGGGGTGGGGGTGGGACTTGAATTCACCTTTGAGTAGTTGCTCGTAATAAGCGATCGTTATTTGTTTACGGGAGAGGCCGGGGTTTTCCCTTTTATTCCATTTTCACCAGCACAGAATAATGATTGTTTTGCTGCCAAGATAGTCAGAATAGCGGCCAAAGTTTAGTACGATCAAGTTGACGCATAGTCATCATTTTTATTAAGATTTGACCGACGATTAATTTTAAATATATTTTTTATTTTATGGGGGTTGGGGTAGTTGCTCGTAATAAGCGATCGTTATTTGTTTTCGGGAGAGGCCGGGGTTTTCCCTTTCATTCCATATTTACCAGCACAGAACAATAATTGTTTTGTTGCCAAGATAGTTTTATGGGGGTTGGGGTAGTTTTAATAAATACAATAATATGAATAACGATGATAATATTCATAATAATAGTAATGATAATAATAATATTGAGAACAAGTGTTTCTATAAAGGGCATTAAGAGATATAATACAGGAAAATCCCGATATGGCCTTTTAAACTTGTTCACGCTTCCGCTATCACATTCCGACTAATTTTCGAAGTGTTAATCTTTTTCTTTCAAAATTTAAATAATACAGTTAAATTGCCAAGACCGTTTACATTGATTAAATTTAGGACTACTTTTAAACAAAACAATTAAGTTATCAAAAGAATACATCTTACGTGTTATTAGTGTCACGTTGAAGTGAATCCCTCGTTTGCAGCATACAATGTCTGATCGTAGCAGTAGTGTAAGCCTCTGTGTCTCCGTGCGGATATCATCCGGCAGGGTCGATCCCGTGAACTCCCATGGGGGAGGGGCAGTCTCTGCAATGTGACCGAACAGTGTAGCTGCACCGATATCAAAGTCAATGAACTCAACCTTGATGGCCGTATCCGTGATGGGTTTGTCGAACAACCACCTGATGTTGATATCGCCTTCGGGAAGAGTTGGGTAACCAAGGGTGGTGAACTCCTGTAAGTAGGAGTTGTCGTCGAGCTCGATGGCGACGCCAAAGGATGACATGGGCTCTGGCCCTCTATTCGCTGTGTCTATGGAGAAGAAAGATTGAGAAATTGTATGGCTTGATTAGGTTCCACGCTCTTTCTCTCTTTCTCTCTCTCTCCCCTCTAATTCTCTCTTTCTCTCTCTCTCTCTCTCACACACACACGCACACACTTTTTAAATATTTGTATAAGCAATTTTGTTTATTTCTCCAAATGTGTAATACAAACCATAACATACTATTGAATAAAATAAATGTGTTCAATATTGATTGCTTTTACATAAACATACTTAAACAAAAACTAATTTGCAGTATATATATAACTTAGCAACAAAGTAAACGTATAAGTACCTAAACATAATATACAGTGCGTCCCAGAAAAAAACGAAACCGAGAACTATCGATGTTTTATCATAACTTAATCACAATTATAATTAAGAAATGACACATGTTTGTAAAGCTTAGATCCTCCTCTTTCATTTGACGCAACTCATATGAATCATATTTCACGCATGAGTGATTAAAAGCAATTTGAAGAGAGGAAACCAAAAAGTCATTCGGCGGGCGGTATCTGAATTTCAAGGAGGAAAAATACATTTCTAGAAAGTTCAATTTCTGCCCTTTTATATGACACCTCAATCAGGAAAAATGAGCGAGGAATAAAAAAGTTCTGTTTGTTTAAAAAAAATGCTTGCATTTCCATAATTTGATCCAACGAGTTCGTTTTCACTGGCTGCCTGCAGTAGCAACAAACAGAGTTGACAAAAGACTTAACTCCGTTTCGTTGAAGATCAGCCATGCATCAGGTCTTTAGTCTCTTTTGTGCATGGCTGATCGTCAACGAAACGGAGTTAAGTCTTTTCTCAACTTTGCTCGTTGCAACGGCAAGAAGCCAGTAAAAAACGAACCCGTTTGATCAAATTATGGAAATGCGAGCATTACTTTAAACAAACAGAACTTTTTTTATTCCTCGCTCATTTTTCCTGATTGAGGTGCCATATGAAAGGAGAAAAATTGAACTTTCTAGAAATGTAATTTTCCCTTTAAAATTCAGATATCGCCCGCCAAATGACTTTTTGGTTTCCTCTCTTAAAATTGCTTTTAATCACTCATGCGTGACATATGCATCATAAAAGTTGCATCAAATGAACGAGGAGGATCTACGCTTTCCAAATATATGTCATTTATTAATTATAATTGTGATTAAGTTATGATAAAACATCGATGATTCTCGGTTTCGTTTTTTCTGGGACGCACTACAATTGTAAATGTTATTCACTTATATAAAAAAAAAATTAAACAAATCTGGAGGTAATTTAACTGGAACAATGCCTGATCCTCACTGCCCCCTCCTTGCCCCATCCCTCACACAAACACCCCCACCCAACCACACAAATACCCACCCACCCCCCCCCCCCCCCACACACACACTACTCACTCAGTGGATGTCTGCTAACATTCTCAACTCAAGAAAAATATACTAAATAAGTACGCACACACGTACACACACGCACACACACACACGTAAACACGTGCACGCACACACGAACACACACGCACATACGCACGAATGAACACGGACGCATATCGAGAGAAATATTGTAATCTTCTTCTACCCAAAGAAACAATTTCTTCCTTTTTGTTAAATAATATGTATGTCAAATGAAATATCTGCCACAAGATTTCATGACGTTCTTTTCTTCATTTGAATTTTGTCATTTAATTTCCTATTCTTTGTCTCTTTCTATCTCTTTCATGCACTCACATACACACACGATCCCTATCTATTATCTTTTATTTTCAGTAATACCCAGCAGATGCTTATTATCATGGCAGAACAAAGTTTCTCCATTAATTTTAGAGCAGATGTAATGTCACAATCATATTTGATAAAAACACAAAGGGCAAATGTTAGATTTGATGACTTACGTCATGATGTTTATCCTTCTTTCAAAGGAAAGTTAAAATATGTATCTTTTCAAATGAGGACGTGTTGGCTATTTTCTACCATGATATACTGTAAATATGATGAATCATGATATTGTACTATTCCACGGGACGAATTTCAGATTCTTTAAATGAAGTGGATGATGTAGGGACGTCTTATTTCTTACCACCTGTATATGGTTGCACCATCATTCCGATTCCAGTGCCATTGTACTTTCCTGTAGTCACATCAACTTCGAGTTCGTGAGTTGGTGATATGGAGACGATTGGTGAATCAGGAGAGATGTCCACTTTAATATCCGTTGCATCTGCAAGGTTTACAAACTGACCGGACTCTACCGTAAAAACTGAAACCTCGCCTGGAACATCAAAATGATTGTACTCGAGGCTGGTTGGTTGCAACGGGTCCCCGTTTGTGAAAGACATCCTGCATTGATATCTCACATTTTCCAAGGATTGGTTGAAGTATGGTGTCACAAAGCTTATGGTCTCAACCTCCTGAACAATTACATTGGGGTTGCATGCTGCTAATGTCAAAAACTGTCCATTCCATGTTGAATGATCTGTTGGAGAATGAAAGAACATAGCCTTGGTGAATATACAGCTCTGTTGGAGTACTGTAAGCCTCAATCGGATTAATGTCATCGGATGTAGTATATTATTGTTTGCTGTCAACTAATTTGACATTGTAGGCCTTAAATTTTACAACAATCCCTTGAATTGTTTAAGACTAAATTATCTTTTCAGCGACTCCATCGAATCTATTATCACTAATTCTATAATTATAGAAATCCTACTTAATATAATTTTCCCGTTTGGTTTGATTCATGTCCTTAGCACCATGCCAACTTTTTATACCATCTGTTTAGGCTTTTCCTCTACTATACCTCGTGAGATCTAGTCCTAATATGCCAAACGGTGTACTTGTCAAATGTCCGAGTATATGAAAACTAGCCTTAAACATCACTCCAAAACTTTCCCTTATTTACCGTAATTATGTTGGACTAATGAGCAATAACATCGGATGTTGGTCTGCAGGAACACTAGGCTAAACTAACGGGCCATATTGGCCCCATATCCCTCCATTGCCTTGTGAGGCTTAGAACTCATGGGACACAGAACCATATACACTCTTGATGCACAGAAAATGCATAGGATATTTTTTTCCTTCAACACAGTTGGTGCGGTGTCAGTGGTTTATCAAAGAATTTATGTAAAACAAAAAGGGGGCCCAATAACTCCCCATTGCCTTGTAAGGCTTAGAACTAATTGGGCCCAGAACCAGGTACACTCTTATTATACACCTAAATGCATCTTCTTCTTTTTTTCTTCTTCAAAACAGTTGATGAGGTGTCAATGGTGTATCCAAAATGTTTTGTTGATAGGGGCAGAAATTTTCCCAGACCAGTGACAAATGTATTTGACGTCTTTGGGACATGGTTTCAGGAATTTACCAACAATAGACAGCTTCACCGTCAGGCCAGCACCAAGCTGACTATTTCCGTTGACGTAAAACGACATCTTGATCTCGTCATCGTACGAGTACCAGGTGGTCGACGACACGGAATCCCTCATGCACACCCACTCTCCATAGGTATCGAAGGTATCAAAGATGCAGACTTCTCCACCCTCTCCTGGATTCATGTCCAAGATGTCGACCTGGATCCAGGTGTAAGAGCTGGCTGTGATGAACCAGTGCAGTGTGGCTGCCACGTCAGTCAAGGAAGATAGGTTGACACTCTGTATGGTGATGCTGGGGTAGGTATCGGACAGGGCGAACGCACCAGCGCTTGACCGGACGAACGAATCTTGTAATTGGTCTGATTGATAGGGATAGGGAAGATAGACAAGAGCGGAAACATCATTGTTGCGATTGAACTAACATTGAATAATCCTGATACATGAACAACCACCTTTTAGAATAAAGATCTATAACATTGAGAATGAGCACTAAAACACTTGTATGCCTGTACATCTATCACACTTTCCCGCAATACCAGTATTTTGCGGGTAAAATTAGTAATGTCCTCAAGAAAACTTTTTTTTCCTATTCCAATCTCTTTGGAAACAAATTTTTTTCCGGGATTTTGTCAATAACAAGCTATGCCACAGCCCACCCGTGCCGGCTATTATAGGGTTCTTCTAGAATCCATACGCCACCTTGAAAACAGGCATGTAGGTGAACAACATATTTATAATGATTAAGCTGCAGTTGATTATTGATGGGAACATAAGTTCAGCCCCCCCCCCCCCCCCCAAAAAAAAAAAAAAAAAAAAAAAAAAATACCAACTCTTAATTTGCATATTTACAATTGCTGACGAATTTATATCAATTTTCAGAAGGTTTAACGTTAACTGTTACCTAACAAGAATATTAACGCTACTGCAGTGCACTTTGCTTTGAGATTTTCTTTAAAAATCCACATAGATTCATGTATATAGTCGATATTGATAGGAAAATTATGATCAATGTCATTTCTAGGTCATTTCTGCGAACGATTCCCAAGCGACAAATACGTCATCATGGGGGCGGGGTACCGGGAAAAGAACAGTCCTTATGCCCAGGTATAGAAGATTAACACACCATGGTATTTTCACGGAATATCTAAATTTTGTTTGAATTCAAAATGTGCATAGGATAGGTCTTATCTGTTTGCGATTTCACAAAAGTTAGAAACAATTTCTTGTGAGAATGCTTTAGTTGAGACAGTACAGTGATTTCAGAAATGATGTTCACAATGTCAATGCAGACCATAATGTATATGACATGTCGCATAATCGTGATACATCTTGTATAAATATTGACTTTGTCTTGGTTTTATCTTGGTACATCTTGGTGTTCTGTGTATAGCTGTCTTAACATGTTTCTTTTATATAACTTATAAAGGGGGGAAACGTCAAGGGGGTTTCCCCTAAAATGAGTTGGTTGGTGAAACTACACAGCAGGGGTTCCTATAACAAGTCTACTTCATAAATATAAAGACGAATTTCACACCTGAATTCACTTAAAGCTCATTAGTACTAGTGTAAAGGAGGGATTAGACCACCCTGTGAGGTCACTGGACAGGTGGTTATCTCATCAACTCAAATAACAAAATAATAATAATAATAACAACATTTATAATGCGCACATATCCACCCCAAGAGATGCTCAAACATGAGAAAAAGAGGGTGCAAGTAGCTACAAGTAGTGCAGTGGGCCTTTAAGTGGTAAAATGTTTAGTCAAAGGTAGTTTTTTTAATCTTAGTTTGGCTACTATGCAAAATCAGCTTAAAGAATTAAGAATTTCAAGGTCAACAAGAAACACAATTCTATGCGCAGAAAAAAGAAAGATAGACAACAAACGTTCGTCTCTTTGCGTTTCTTAAGCACATTTTAGAGAAAGACAAAAAACAAAATAATTTGACGTACATGTATAAAGCCCTTTATATCAAAAAGAAAATCATCGTTATTCTTTAATTATAGTTTTAAATTGAATAATTTCAAGTATTTTTTATGATTAAATTCATGATTAAAACATTTTCATTTTCATCTGAAAAGGTTTAAGCAGGACTTTATTTTGAATAAACATGAGTTTTTATAAATATCTTGCATGTTACAGTGGTTATTCCTCCTGGCATGTTCTATGATCTTAAATGTACGTCAAACAACTCATTATCGGAGCAAGGACAGAAACATATGACTTTGACCTTTGCTTTACATTCCATTACAGGTGAGACAATCTGTTTCAAAGATTCATCAATTCTCAAGAATATAAAATGAATCATCAGATTTTAGTGTCTTTTTGTACAATTGTTATTCTTAACTTCACTATATCATTGTTGCAGAAATACAATGTCATAATATGAACTATTATAAATATTCTTAGATAGGGCAAATAACGCGACAGGACATAATAATAGTTATGAACAAGTATCATGTTTCGTAAATCGATATTATGAAGATTGAATAGTGGGGATAACCGATCGTCTAGAACATAAAGGCCCGAATTCACAAAGCAAGGTTTGAGCTCAAACCTCCTTTTGTTACGCCAAACCTCCTTTTGTTCTTTACAAACCAGGTTTGTAAAAAACGCGTAAAACGCGTCATATGACGTACGAAAACCAAGGTTTGTCGACAAACCTCCTTTGTGAATTCGGGCCAACATGTCCTTTTTTAGTATACTGTATCAGAGTCTGCAGAGCATGAAAACTGATTAAATGTGAACTGCATAACGGTTATATCGGTATGAAAACATCAAGGAAAACCAAAGTAAAACAAAAATTAAAGTTAAACAAACAAATGGACTGGAAAGGAAATGGCACATAAAGGGTGGCATAAGGTACTTTTTTTTCCAAATATGTGAAAGTTTGGAGGTAAATTTAAAGCCAAGGGGTAAAAAGACAGAACATAAACAAAAGTGAGAGATTAAATCTTTGCAATTAGAAGAGATCTTAGTGTGGAGTCGTTATAGTCGTAGTGATGTAAGTGAACATCGCACTTGTAACACATACAAATATTGTGTTCACCACTGAAAATACTTAAAGATGCTTACCAGTAAAAGAAAATTCCGCTTCCAAATAGGAGTAAGGACTGCTGCCATCACAACGATCAAATTCGATCTTCATTTGCGAGGAATCCAAAAAGATCGGATCGATCACTGAAGATATCCAATCAATTATCCCTATCACCTCGTTGGTGTTCAGATTTTTAATAGTCATCTTGTCATCTTCAGGAACGTGAAGAGCTAGAAAAGTAGCATTCAGGATGGTTCCCGGTGGACTTGTCACATAGATATCACAGTTATAATCGCAAATTGGAGGATCACAAAATGGTTCAGAACTGTTGAATCGAAAGGACACTTGAGAATTCGTCGGTGTTAGGGTGATGTTGTTACTATTAGATGCGTCTGCAAGAGCAAAACAATATAAATGCATGTACTTTATAAATATCAAACTTTTCTTTTGATAAGTGAAATGCAAGAATATCACGTGTTTGCATCATTTGCGTAGAGATATCGGCACTATTTTTTTTAAATTCATAATCCTTCTCCCCAATATATATTGTGACTTGTGTGGGAATACTAATATGGCCAAGATAATGAGATCCTGTTTTATTTATTTTACTTTGCAATTCCATTTATTTCTACTTTAAAAACAATTTACAAATCAATAACAAATACATATATAAATAATTATGGCGGGATCATGAAAAGCACTAATTGGCTTATTAAAAAGCTTCATCGTTGTTTTATTATACCCTTTACAATTTGCAATGTAGCTTTATAACAAAACATCTTTATGCATTTTTAATATGAAGAAATAATAGGTAAGTGTACTCTTATCATTTTGGGTCAGAAAAAATCCCATATCCCTCCGATAGGACTACCCATTCCCAACACTATAAGCCCACTATTCTTTTGCATACCAGATCATACTTCAATTAATCAGACAGAACATTAAGCTACGTTATCTTGTAGTATATATAGTATCCGGAATAATCACATACACTTTGCTATCTCCATAACAGCATCGGAGAGATATGCGCCGAATGCAAGGTATTAATATGAGAATTGTCATAATGGTCAAGAGAGTGGCTTGGCTACTCGTGTCATGAACGTATATAAAGAAGGAGCACATTCATGTAATAATTTTGTTTAAACGTTTTCATTTCAAACGTAAATTGGGAGATCTTAACAAATATGATTTATTCATCTTTAACGTCTGCCTCTATTAGGATTCATTGTTGATATAAAATATGGCAAGTGTCTGTAAATTAAAAAACACTAAAAATGGTAAAACACACAGTAAATAAATGCTTACGGATAACACGACTTAATGCCAGGAGAAAACCACAAAGCGCAATATGAAGACGAATAGCCATCTTGTTTCCACTCAAGAATAATATGTCCTGATCATCCTGATGTTAGAGATTGCTTTGAAGACACCGTATGGTATATAATCGCAATTACCCGTTGCCGGTATACGAGCATGACTTGGACTTTGTACACACGATAAGGTCGGGCGAAATCCAGATATAAGTTGATTCATGTTGATGTGCAGGGCTGCATACAACTCATATTTTGTTATTCAAACATCTAAATATATTTCATAGATCTTATTTTGTTTTTAATAATAAATTTCTTAGACCTGCTAAGCTTCAACCTAAGAAATGCTCCAGATCTCATTCCCTAAATGACATCATCTGTCGATCAATAGTGAGCTAACAAAAAAACAGTGGGATGTTACTTCCCCCAGCTCAGCACATGCCCACAAAAGAACTGCATACTTTTATACAATACCTCCACATTACCTTTCTTTTCCTGGTGATACCAAAATACCAAAAATAGGAGTTGCTATGTCAGACGTGCTGTAGAACACATCTCTGACATAGCAACTTCTATTTTGGTATTGTATGGTCTATTGTAGACAGGTGGTCAGCTCTGGTGAATTTACATACCACCGTCTCTTGTTAAACATGAAAAGGGATATTCATGGAGCACTTCTTTGTTAATGAATATAGACTAACCAATGAATCTCTTATTGGAGGGAGGGGGGGGGGGGGAATCCAGAAAAGAACCAAAACACAAGCCCCCTCCTCCTAAGAGAAATACATTTAAAAAAAATCATGTTGTCATGTGAATTTGGGGCTAAAGGGGTTGTCGGGAGGTAGGGGCATACTATTTTGAAGGCAGAGTTGATGAAGGAGCGTCGCAAGCTGAAGGGGTCAGGTATCTCCATCCAGGAGGACTTAACTTCACTTAACCACAAAATTCTGATGAAATTGGCGACCCATCCAAAGGTGGAAGCGGCTTGGTCGATTGATGGAAGAGTCATGGCTGCCCTCAAGACCAACGAAGAGGGGTTTCAAGTCAAAAAACTTTTCTCATCTTTGCAGCAAGCTGCGACTTTGTAACTCTTTATTTTTCTTTTTACTTCCAAGTGCCTCTCCTAGAGGTTTGCATTTTTACCCGTGCGTTATCTAACGTTCTTTACACCTTTTGTTTTCCCTCTTACATTTATATATATATATATATATATATATATATATATATATATTCTCTCTGTTTATTACGTCTTGTTTTCTTTATACATCTTTCTTTTTCCCTTTTTATGCCTTATTTCTCTTTCACTTTTTACTATGTGCACTTGCACTTTTTTTTATCAATATACTCTGTACATCTCTATATATTTTTATGTTCATGTCGTTCTGAGTGTGTCTGTGTGTGTGTTCTTGTATGTGAATGAATGTGATGGCTTTCCGCAAACTGCTTTGTTTTATCTCTCTGTTTTGGTATTTGACATTTTTTATGACCGCTTCAGATCTGTTGTTTTTATATACTGTTTACATCTAATCCTTCCTCATGGATGATGATTTTGAAGATATTAATGATGCTGTTGTTAATGAGTGTAGCTATATCAACTGCAGCGATTTCCAGTTTAATGGCGATAAAAAACTTTCTCTGATGCATATTAACTCCAGAAGTCTTTTTAAAAACTTTGATGATCTGGTAGTATTACTATCCTGTATAGAACATAATTTCTCTGTTATTGGTATTTCAGAAACCTGGTTCAAACCATCTACAGATGTAGCTATGTTTGATATTCCAGGATATTCATTTGTTCAAGTCTGTCGATCAAATAAGAAAGGTGGTGGAGTAGCATGTTATGTCCGAGATGGGCTTGATTACAAGATACGTAATGATCTATCTATGGCTAATGCTTATTATGAATGTGTATTTTTAGAAATTAGTATTGCAAACAAAAAGTCGATTGTCGGATGCATTTATAGAGCACCTGGTAATGACATTAGATCATTTATTGATGGCTTTGATCATGAAATGCAAATACTGAGTAAAGAAAGGAATGACATTTATATTATGGGTGACTTTAATATCAATTTGTTAAATGTTGATGTAGATGAAAAGGTAAAAGATTTTGTTGACTTTATGTTTTCGTTTGGGTTGCTTTCCCTAATCACTAAACCGACTCGTATCACGTCATCTTCAGCAACCTTAATCGATAATATATTTACAAACTGTGTTCAAGACCATTTCTATTCTGGAATATTCTGTTCTGATTTCTCTGATCACATGCCAATTTGTAGCATTAACAAAGGCATTGCAGTCACTACAGGAAAGGTACACAATAAATTATTTAGATTATTTATTTATGTGATTACTGATGAAAGAATGAATAATTTCCAACGCGATCTTCTTCAAGTTGATTGGTCTAGTTTATATAGCTTGTTTGATGCAAATGTTTCTTATGACTATTTTAGTCATATTTTTTCCAACTTATATAATTTACATTTCCCTTTAGTTGAATTGAGTGTGAAGAAGAAATGCAGGAAACCATGGATTACTCCAAGTCTTCTGAAATCTATTAATCAGAAACATAAGCTTTATCATACATATATTAAGAACCAAAATGAGATTAATCGGAAAAGTTATGTTGACTATAAAAACTTGTTGACAAACCTTGTTCGTCAAAGTAAGAAGGATTATTATGATAATGTTTTTCGAACTACTCAGAATGATATTAGAAAGACTTGGTCTCATATTAATGGTTTGCTTGGGAGGGGGAAGAAGACGCCACTTCCAAATGATATGTATCATAATGATTTACTGTTAAAATCAGACTTACAAAAAGCAAAATATTTTAATGAATATTTCATTGATTTGCCCTCTAAAATAAACAAGGAAATTCCTCCTGTCCAAACATCATACAAACAATTTTTGTCAGTGCAGAATCACTCCTCGTCCTTGTACTTTAGACCAACGTCTGTTCATGAAATTTCTAACTTTGTTTTAACTCTAAAACCATCCAAGGCATGCGGTTCTGACGACATTTCCCCAAAAGTCATGAAAACTTGTATTCAATGCATTGTTGAACCCTTGTGTGATATTTTTAATAAGTCCTTGTTTCAGGGTATTGTCCCAAACAAATTGAAAATAGCTAAAGTAATCCCTGTATTCAAGAAGAATGATCGTAAGAACATTGAGAATTATAGACCAATTGCTTTGTTACCCATATTTTCAAAAATTCTAGAGAAAATAGTGTATAAAAGGTTGGATGACTTCCTTCGACTTCATGATATTCTGATCCCACAACAATTTGGCTTTCGAAAGAATTGCTCTACAAGTATGGGTGTCTTGAATTTGGTAAACACTATTATAAATGCAATTGATGCTGGGAAGTTTTGTCTTGGTGTGTTTTTGGATTTATCGAAAGCATTCGACACTATTGATCATGATATATTATTAAGCAAGCTTGAGCATTATGGCATTCGTGGGATAGCTTTGAAATGGTTTAAAAATTACTTACATAATCGATTACAGTATGTAGTGGTTAATGGAGTTAAATCACAATCTAGGAAGGTAAAATATGGCGTACCCCAAGGCTCAGTCCTGGGCCCCTTATTGTTCTTGATTTATATTAATGATATTATAAACTCATCTCAGTTGTTTACTTATTCACTTTTTGCTGATGATACTTGCTTGCTCTCTCACCACAAAGACATGCATAATCTGATTTTGTCTGCAAATAATGAAGTTCACAATATATTTAAGTGGTTTTGTTGCAACAAACTTTTGTTAAATGCTAGTAAGACTCAATATGTTGTTTTTAGATCAAGGGGCAAAAGAATCCCAGATAATATTGACCCCCTGACAATAGGTGGTCATCTGATCAACCGGAGTCAAAATGTAAGGTTTCTTGGAGTTACAGTTGATGATCATTTAACTTGGAAAGATCACCTCAGCAATGTTTGTACCAAGGTCTCGAGGAGTGTTGGTGTGATTTTTAAGTTACGCTTTTTTTTACCAGAGCAAACTTTAGTAACTCTTTATAATGCTATCATTATGCCTCACTTAACTTATTGTAATGTTGCATGGGGAAATACGTATAGGAGCCATATAAACAAGTTAATAGTCCTTCAGAAGAAAGCTATCAGGCTCATTACAAATTCAAATTACAGAAGTCCAAGTAATCCTTTATTTGTGCAACTTCAGATGTTGCCTCTTGATGAATTAGTCTCCATGAATTGTTTGATATTCATGTTCAAATCTCAATCTGCTCAAAATAATTCATTTTTAAAAGATGCGTTTATTGTTAATTCGACTGTCCATTCGTACAACACACGTCAGAGAAATCTTATCCATCAGCCGTTTGCGAGAACACAAACTGCTTCGAACTCTTTTGTAATTAATTGTATCAAAGAATGGAATAAGTTGCCACAAAACATCAGATCCAGTCCAACACTACCTATGTTTAAACATACATGTCGAGAATATCTTTTTGAGAGATTACAAAATATGTTAAAGTAAATCCTGGAAAGCCATGTGTGTATGTGTGTATGTGGGTGTGTCTGTGTGTGTGTGCGTGGGTGTGTATGTGTATGTGTGTTATCTTTTTTTCTGTTCCCATATTTACTCATTAGTTATCATTGTAAATATGTTTTTGTCATCGGTTATTCTAAATACTGTTATTTTGTTTTTGTTTATGTACCTTTTAAGGGGCCCCTTATCACAAGCTCTGCTTCTCCGGGGTCCCAAACCTATCATGTTTTTTTATTTCTTTTGTGTCAATTGATTGTAAAATGTTGTGTTTGATTGGTTTGAATAAACTTGAACTTGAACTTGAACTTGTTTATGAGTACTTTGGGTTTTGTCGGGGGCGTGCCCATTGCCCCTCTTACGGAAATGCTAGAGTAGAGCCTAGAGGCTGCTAGTCATACTGATAGCAAATCGCAAATTTACTATTTAATATCAAAATGGAATTTGAATTCAATCATAATGCGATAATGAAAGTTAACATAACACAATGAATTGTTTCCCCCCAAATGACTCGGTCAGTCTGCATCTAAATGTGCTATGTGAGTGTGTATGTGTGTGTGTCTGTGAGTGACCTTGCTTCTGAAAAA